TGAGTGCGGGGCGAAGCCGTTCGGAAGGAGCAGGAAGCCGCACACAGTTTTTCACCGGACAACGACGCGACGTCGCTTGCGTACTTTGTGAGCGAGCGAGCTGTGAGCACTTCATCATCCGATGCGATCGTCCACTGGATTCCAGCACTTGCTGAACTGGAAGAGAAAAGAAGCAAATCTGTTTCAAGAGCCATTTCACACGCACGCGTGTCAGGGAACAAAGTTACGAAACGCTCGCTCTTGCCACGAGAAGATCTAAGCTTTTCAAGACGTTATCTGTAAGAACATACACAAGACAACGGGGAGCAAAGGAGCTTCGGGGCACGGGTGGGAATATGGGACCAAAGAGAAAGAGAAGAGTGCGCTGCACGGAAAAGCGTGAAATCGACGGAGAAATTCCTCTCTCAGAGCTTCGAACGCGAGAGTACGATCACGGGCATTCTTAGGCTCCATCGAAGACGAATAACGATCAAGACTGGAACGATCATATTGCAACAACCAGTTTCGCATAAATCTCATTTGGTGGACTTGGAAACGTCGACGCTCCCGTGGACAAACTAGTAGTGAATATGGAGTCTTGATTCGAAACTCTCTTGAGAAAGCGATACCCACACGCTGGAGCGAATTACCGCGCGGCAAAAAATGCCTCTTTTTTTTTTTGGTCGAATTACCATTCCACTTCGAAGCTTACGTAATTGCGAGCTTTTACCAAATCGATCGAAGGGTAACCCTTGCTCCCGTAACTGTCGGACTGGTTGCTTCGTCAAACGCCTGCTTGATTGCTTGGCATACGCAGACGAACTTGCGACAGCAACGGCGAGAGAAATTACTGAAAAGTGGTTCCACTTACGCTTTCCACGCCCCCGTGTTTCACAACATCCCGTGACAATTTCGTTTCGATTCGGTGTTTTTTCCTTCGGTCTTCGCCTGTTCCCCATATTTTTGCTATCTGCCATCCCTCGTTGCGATATTCATGAACACGCGAGAAAAAGCATCTTGGCAGCCGCTACCAACGTACAAGATGTCTCTCGTCGTCAGCTGTACCGCGATCACAATTCCATTCGGCTGCGATTCGCAATCGGTTCCTACTTTGTCGTGAAGCTTGAATTGAATCCTTCGCCTCTGGGAAGAATTTTTAATTTCGGGCGAATTTTACGGGAAGAACTTTTCTTCAAGTGCCTCGAGCCGATTCCAAAAACTGAGGCGGTTGTTGAAAAGTTGCGAAGCAATGATGTCGGCTTACGGAAAAACGACCGAAACCGACGCTCCAGAGGTGGCAACGCCCGAAAACTTCCGCTTTTCTTCGTCGGTCCACAGCTAGCATGAGCTCGGGGCGATTACCTACGTTAGTTCTCCGATTGTTTTCCCCGCTATCCGTCTCCAGGCTGATATTTTTCTGCTTCTTGTAACACCCCGTAATCCTGCTTCCCTCCGGCTCTTCTGATAACGAATTCCTCATAAGCCGGTAGACTCCAGTTCCCCCGCCCCTCAAGCACAGTTGCGACAGACTTTGAGGAAGACTCCTCCGCTGACCTCCCCTAGAGGAACCGCGACAGTATTCTTACGTGAAATGCTTCCCGATATCTCGTTAGATGACAATGACGCTCGACTGCCCCGCTCCTGGAAGGAGCTGAGAAGAGTCAAAACTTGTTTCCGTTTTTTTGTGCCCGTATCGCCACCTAGCAAGACTCTCCGGGCGCGGTCGCTTACTCAGCAATTGCGGCTTGGATCGCTCCGCACCAATAAAACCGAAGCCGTTACCGTTATTTGTTGACAAACTCACCTGAGGCAGTCGGTCCACCGGTCTGACGACTTAGACTCTTCAATCGATCGGTTCGCCGGTTTTACGACGGACAAACCCTTCGCCACCTGAGTTTTACCTGTCTGACGGAACGGTCGAGTGTCTATCCGCTCGTCTGAAGCTTCGTGGAGCGTGCTAGGGAAAGAGAAAGCTCTCGAAAAACTCAGATAGATTCGGTGTTGTCACCGCTTGAGCAAGGAAAGATTTTTTCCGACTGGTCCTCATTGCCCCTCAAGGAATGCGAGGGTTCTCCTCCGGTTATCGTTCACGCTGGCGAATTGCACGACCTGCGAGACATCCATATCGTGGATCCCGATAACTCCCCGTCTCCGAGGGATCTGACGCTTCTGCCCCGATATCCGAGCTGGCACGATGTGTTCTACCTTGACGATGAGCTAATCTCCGTGAATATCCACCAAGTTGTCGTCAGTTCCTGATTTGAACTCTGAAAGGCTCGTGCAAGAATCTGAGGCAGGGCATAATCGTTTAGTCCAGAGGTCTTACGATTGTGATTCGAACGATGAATAAATGAAGGTCGAATCACTTTGCGGTTTTATTACTCCAGAATTTTTGACTCGGCTCAATGGCGCGACAACATGGTGACGACCTTGAGAATTTATTCACATATTCCTTCCTCTCATACTCCTGCATATCGGACCGATTGAACTGCGCGCGAGCAGGTTGTCATTGGTCGTGGCGCTCGTTGATGTCGTCGCCGATGTGGTGCTGGCGCGAAAAAGTAGGCAATGAGGTTCCGGGTCATCCGTTTTGAATGAAAACTCGCGAGTGACGAGACAATCTGAATTGAACAAGTAGCAGGAAGAAATTGACCGACTCATTGAAGGCTTATTTCTACGAGTTGCCTGTGACAAAACGATCCCATAAGAGAGACGGAAAAAACATCTCACAATACCCTATCGTCCGGCTTACACAATAGTTAGACCTTCCCGGTTCGCGGAACGGTATCCTAACCCTTTTTCCACCTTGTTATTCATTGTTTCCCCCAAATCATGTGAGCGAGGAGAGGGGCAGGTTCTCGGGATTGAGAACCGGCTGACGGATAAGATTGAGGGGAAATTGAACTCGTGCAAAATAGAAGACCCGAGGAATTGACATATTTTCGCGCTGCTCGGCGAAGTTTATGAGGAGCAGGAATTTCTGCGAAGTCCCATTCATCGAGGGGTTCAAGGTACCGTCGGCAACGATTCCGAATAAAATCCGGAAAAACATCAGGTGCGAAGACAGCTTCGATCAGGGGAGAAAAGCCGCTTCTGGAATGCCTTCGTTTGGGAAATGGCGTCAAGGTTATTTGGCGGCGTTCGCTGGACAAATCCGAGTAGAGGATTCCTGTGAATGCTGGAGCAGTATCGGTGGAGGTGGGAAAGAAGGGGATATCTTCGAACGGCGAAATTGATAATCCATCGATGATCGATTCTTCAAATCATTCATCAGTCCACCTCAAATACATATTCTGCTAAAGATGCTCGACGCGAAACCGGAAGGGTGCACCGATCGTTGTACCCGATCGCCGAATCATGAGCCCTGTGAGGGAGGATTTTGACGGATTATCAGGACAAACCGCCCTAGCGGACTGCGACCAGATTTCGCCTCGATTTCCCGCTACATTTCGAACGAAAGTATGACAGAAACACGACAGAGAGAGAGGGAAAAAAGAATTATCCGGAGTCTCTTCCTTCTTGGAACACATCTGAATGCCTCTGATGGTGTCTGCGGTTTCTTGAAACTGTTTTGTGCTGGGTATCTTCACAATGGCTTGCTGCGGATCGCTCTCTGACGAGTCCGTTTAACAAAAGTCATTGTCCATTTCGGTACTATTAGTGACTCACTCGTCGGCTGGTCGCGCGGTCGGTTGGTGCCTTGGTCGGGCGGAGCGAGGCGGTCGTTCGGTGTGTCGGACGGACGGTCGGAGAAATTCCCACCACCAGAATACTCCCACCTCGTGTCATTTCGAAGGGCGTTCGACCAACATCTTTGGCTACAAGAAGCCCTTGCTTTTCACCCATTGACTGCTGCGAAAGCAAGTCGGCGATTGCGCTTGCGGCTGTGGCGTCGACGGCAACTGCGAGAGGAACGTAACCAAACGTAAAACGGCTTGGAAATCTGATAGTTAGGGATCACTCAACGCTGTCAACATAACCGTTTCTCGCTGTGGGTGTGGGACCCACCAAGGACCTCCCTGTTAGAGCTTCCCATTGTGGAGCTCCGTTGCAGGGCAGAGGAATGATTTTCGTGACTACCTCATGATTCGATTTGAGCGACCATAACTCGTTAGGAAGAGGCGGTACCCCTTTACCACTCCGGTGGTCGACTTTGACGGCGGAGCTCGTCTAACTAAGTGGGCCTTCGCCAGAATCGGTAAAGTTGGGAAATGACAGAATAAGTCTTGATCGATCCTGGAATTCCAAGGTTTGGGATCTCGAGGGAGGAGGGTATCTAACGGTTCCCGACGACATCCCAACCCAAACCAAGCTGTGACGATCGACCTTCGACGGCGTGGTACGTGCGTCATTCGGATGCGGTGAAAAAAGCGGCGGCAGGTGCTCAAAGCCGATGTGATTAATCGAATCAAGACAATGGATTCAATGCCGGCTCGCACGAACAGAAGAATGTTCAGGACCAATTTTCGCAGAAAATCTGGTACTATGCATAACTGCTCGCGATATTGGATAATGTGACACCTCGGCTTGAATTTTCGGCGTACGACTTTCATGGAGTCGTGATGGTCATAATGATGATGATGGCACCGAGGATAGCGGATGATCGTTGACAGCGAGCTCTTATTCGGACTTGGCTACCTGCCAGAAACGGCTACTGGCTCCGCGGAATAACGGATCGCGGTTACTCGATCCCGGAGAAGCTCTCAGTGAGCAGGATGGTTATCACTCATCAAATCGATCTATTCCCTGAATATTCCGGCACCCAACGATCTAGGAGTCACTTGATCAGCAGGAAACCTCTCAATGGGGATCTTCTGGGCAGTGATGGCGGTGCTGAAAAAGGTTGGAGGCAATCGGGGCATTGTTCGGAAAGCTCGAATTTTCTGAAAGAATCAGAGTCACTCTTCCTTGCGGGAGGTCGTGCTGAATGCAGTAATTCCCCTAGTGGTCATGAACTTCGAAGAGTCAAATAACACTCTGGTCGTAACAAGCGCTAAGACGTGACTTTTTCTTTTTTGCAGGACCACATTCAAGAAGTTCTCCACAAGTGGGAACAGATCGATGATGAAATATGGGCCAAAATTATCTGCATGGAACGGAATCGACGTGTCGCCAAAGCGTATGCACGCGCCCCAGAACTCGAGATTAATGGGACCGGAGACGGGTTCGACGGTTTCAAGATTGGTCTGAACGCGTTCGATAATCCGATGCGCGACGAGAAAACGCACGAAACTAAGAAGAGGATTGGCATGGTAAGTGATCGTACCTTCTCGACATGACGAAATCTTGCTTCTCCGATCCACAGTCTAAGGATTCCGAGGGAGCCTGATCGATGATTTCAGAGTACAATATCGTTCTTTCTAATCGTTATGGATCGAAAATATCATTAATTGTGCTTGGCTGACGGAAGGCGGGAACGGGTTCTGAAAAGCCGGAAAGAGAACGATCGCGAATCGAGAGAGACGCAGGTTGAAGCCGATTTCAGCCGAGAGGGGCTGCCTGTGAAGAATGGCAAGTCGTCATAGCTCCCCGAATATGAACCGATTGCGAGACTGCCAGCTTACTATCTTCCACGGCAGACGTAGCGATGGGTTGGAAAAAACATCCCGACAGCTGGATACAAACAATATTTCCTTGTTTCGCAAAACAGTTTTCTATAAGCCGTACACCTATCAGTGGCTGGAGTGAGCAAGTCCCGGAATGCTATCCGCGAGTCTAAGGTCGCGGGCGCTAATTTACTTATGATATATCTGCGCCTCCTCTTATAACGGAAAAGGGGGAACAAAAATTCTGAAAGAAACGCATTTCCCGATAATTCGTCTCACAAATGGCGTCTACCGCGGAAAATCCTGCTCTCTTCTCTACGAAGCGGCTGAAAACTTGAATTTGGATCTGTCTAGCTCGCGAGTTTCCCTCAGGCTCGATAGGTAGCAAGGGATTGATACTACTTCGGTCACAGAGTGCTATCCTTTTATCAACTACTCTGCGAAGCGATTTTTCGGCCTTGTCGTCGTGAGCCACACCGCGGTAGTGAAATGTCCAGTGCGTCGGAATCAGTCAGGGAAATCTCTTCCAGCGGCTCGTCTCGATACATGTTCAAGCACGATAAAAACTCGACTTTCGTTTCTATCCCCGACTACGCAATCTGGTCCAGTTTTGTTTGACTCCCTCGTCTACACCAGAAAAAACAAGACGTAGTGGGCAGTACTGCTCCAATAGCACAGATATCCCCAGCCTCTCATTACTCCGCTGGACAGTGCATAGCTCGCTCGCTCGCTTGCGCGTTGAATGCGAATAATGATTCAAAACGCGAGTTTTCTCCCCCCGGAGAGCCAGAATTCAGAATATTGATATTCAAAGGTCGTGCGGAGTATTTTTTGGAATTTAGTCGTTTTGCTTGCCGTCTGCCAAGATCTTTACGGAAATATTCCTTTTCAATTCATCGGCTGCAGCTTTTTCTGTCCTCAAACTCTGACCTTATGGCCCGTACGATTTCATTGAAGCGAGTTTTGCTCCAGGGGATGTTGAATTGGGCTATGGGAAAGATCACGTTCGAAAAACCTCTTGCGAGAAGAAATCGCCAGGCTAGCGGTCCGTCGAATGGAACCTCCTTCGATTTTTTGCAAACTTTCGAAGTTTGCTTATTTCACCAATATAATGAGAAGCTCTCCCGTGTTCCTCCGCTCACCCCGTAAGCTCAGTGAGCACAACCGCTAGCCGATTGAATGACGATTGACTTACCTAACTCAGATTTGCTCGACGACCGCCACGCCGGCGGACGTTCAAGGGGGCGCTTTGTTCAGTTTGACTTGCGCGCGAATGATTCAGAGTCAAGTCAGACGATGTCCACCACCCTGGTTGATGGAGCACCTCGGCCTCTGTCCGGTGGTTCAATTGGATTTTTCGCGCTCACATGCTCGCTACCACACCGGAACTCACTCCTCTACCTTGGAGCTTCCTCTCCTGAAGCGAGAAGAAACGCCGACTTTCTGGTAGACTCGCGTCGGGACGTTTCAGCCCCTTTCTGCTTTGTGGATACCACACGCATACCCTTGACGGAATTTGTCAATGAGGGGGGGAACGGACACACGATTCGTATCTGTGCTCCGATCGCTCATGCGACTGATTCGTTACCCATCGGCTGATGTTTGAATCATTTCTCAGTCCTTGAGTGAGCGCTAGATTGGCTTCCTCGCAACTATGGGAAGAAGATTTTAACGGTGTTGCATATATGCTTCCCACTTGATCTGCAGAGAAGATTTCATTCACAAGTGACATCATCCCAACGCGGGGAAAATTGTACTGCGGAAAGCGGGCGGGAGGTGAAGTCGGCTCGGCACGGCAGCGATTCCATCGAAATGAAAGTCGTCTTTCCTTTGCGTCCCCGCTCTGTTCTCACAGTTAGCGAGAATGGGTGCGAACGCAGCTCCTCTGCCGACCTCAATTGACCTTTGGGCGTCAATTATTATTGTATTTAGCTTGCTCTCTGGAAGCAGTGCTTTTATACTTCCGACCTCTGTTTCCGGCGACGCGGCTGGCTATTCGGATCCGTGTCTCGGCCAGCTCAGTGGCCGTCCGTGGGGTCATAGGCCAGAGCGAATCGAGCGGAATTGATGGGTCTCCCGTCATTTGTTCATTTGCGTCCCGCCCCGAATGTGGAACTATGGGAACGAGACAGCAAGCCTCAGGATATTCCATCTCAGATAGAAATGAGAGATTAATTAGATTCGTGCATGTGCATCAATGCAAATTGATATTATGCATGACGCTCCGAATCTGAGAAGGACCCCGAATTTTTTCGACGTTCGTTCTCTTCAACTCCACCAGCGCGGCGGAGCCTTTGGCTCAGGGACGGATGTTTTCGTGGAATGTTTGGTGTTATTTGAGCGCTTCAGGACAAAACCAACCCGATTCGTAGCAGAAGCCAGAAAGCTGGCTCGTCTGACTGCCGCTCTTTCAAACGGAGCTCCGGGAATAAGACTGAGACCACATGGTCACGAGATAACTTTCATCAAAGTGACAAACGGCCGCATCCGAGCGCCCGTCGACGATTCTATTGAGATCGAAGCGGGATGAGCACTGAAGTCATCGACATCGATCTTGACACTGCCATCTTACCTTCCTTTCAAGTTGCTCGCTTGAAAGTCCGCTCTAAATTCCGCCCGACGCAGACGTTCCGAGATCAGGGCTGCTGACGCACCCGCGCAACGTTTTCTTGAAAACGTCCACGGAAGAAGCGAGAAGAGAGAGAAAGAGAAAATCCATGAACAAATCGTTTTGCCCTCTGCTTCGATCAGCCGAATGCCCGCAGCGATCGGTGTTGGGTTCTCGGATATGGTATAGGCGTCCTTCGCTGGCTTGTTGTTTGCCATGATCGATGCAAAAACGCTGCAAATAACCGACCAGGTGGATACTGACCGCGCTTAAAAACATTATCTATCCATAATCCAAGAAGCATTTGAGAAGACGGCGAATCCGCCACAGAAAGCGCTACAGAATTTCTTTCACGACATCAGCGGCTGTCCCTCGCTGTTGCAAGCCTCGAGAATAGAGCGAAGAAAAAAACCTCTGGGTCCAGGCTAAGCAAACGATTCGGACCGTGTTTTTATTGTTTTTGCTCGCACTAATCTTCGAGGGCCGACACCGCGCATATCTCATTTTTCCCAAGAGTTTATTCGTGGGGGCTGGAGTCTGAAGGACCTCGACTTTTTGAGCATCTCCCAGCAGGCTCTCGGTGGTCAAAGAATGACCGATCGTGGAATCGATCACGGAAAAATTTGAATATTGCGAATCGCCGCGGTGACAGTGTCGCAATGTCGTTTCGCAGCAGCGAACAAAAAGATGAAATGTGAAAGACGAATAATTGCCAGCTTGTCGCAGACAGCTCAAAAGCGTCCCCTCAGCGTCTGGGAAGTGTCTGACGATGTCCTTCTTCACGAATCGCTCGCTGACTGTTGGCTCCCGATGAGTTTGGACAGCTCGCTCGGAATCCTAAGCCCCAATATCCGACACAGCCGCGATAATCATCATCCGGTCGACACGGTAGCCGCTGGGGTCCTGGCGACCCGTGCGTTTTCTATGCCCAATACGATGCTTGTAAACCTTCGCGCACAGGAGGCCTGTCATTCGCTGAGATTTCATGGGGCGACTCGATGGCTATCCGCGACCTACTTTATCGGATTTAGAAGACCGTCCAGGAGAATGGAAACTCGTGTTCATCTTTTCGGAGACGAATCAGGATGCGGAAGTATTGAAATTTCGGGAGAATTATCTCATTCTTTCCGGGAACCTCGGCTTTGAATTCTCAAAAATCCTGCTACGTACCGACGATGTAAAATAGAAACGGACTAAGAAGCCTCTAATAATCGCTGAAGATATACAGAGAACTAAATCAACTCTCGACTCGATTCCAGGGCGCTCGGATAACGATGGACAAATCGGGGAATATCGTCATCAAGCGAATCTCGAAAGCGTCGATTTACGTCAACGGTGCTCAAGCTGGGGAGAACTCGTCGATTTCGAAAGAAGTCATCGAGAATCGAGGTCAGCTAGAATTCGACAAACCTGTAAAGCTCTTCGACATGGAGAGATTTCGCGCGAACGTCATTCGTGAGATGAAGAGGTGAGTCCACTTCCAAAACTTGCTCGACGATTCCGGTAGAAGGGTAAGCCCTCGTTTGAAAAACATCTCTTCTTCTCTGTTATGCTCCTGTGACACGGCCCTAATTATTTTCCACAGGGGATACCCCGACCGGAAAGCACTCGAGGCCCAATGTATTTCGTGCATAAGTTTCGTCCGCGATTACGCTGACGTCCTACAGGTTCCGGTGTGGGTGATGGTGATCAATATAGTCGCTTTAGACATGCTCAAGAGCAAGCTGCCTCGTAAGTCACTTCCACAGAAATCGATGATGATGATAAAATAATGCCCAGCAACCATCAGCAGCATTATAATCTAACATTGACAATAATGAAAAGAATGATATTCTCAAACGATGCCCCCGAATCTCGAGGACATGTTGATAATTCCCTGCTACCTCTTCAGCTCAATACGCGGTGCCGGCGGCGACCAAGCGTCAGAGTGCACCTAACCTGATGTCGATTTTCGACACGCCAGCTCGTGGCCGGGGCAACGATGTCGAGGATCCATACACTGCGCTCCCCGGAGGAGCGTCGTCCTCGGGTTCTTCGGGTGGACACAACACGACGAATTTGAAGCGTGACCGGGATCGCGATCCGCGACCTCCGAAGCTTCCTCCTAGGGATCATAAGGACAGAAAACCGAGGGTTCCTCGCGTAAGTACCCCTCAGGTCAGTTCCGTTCCAGCTCGAGTCAGTTGAACCAGCTTCACTCACCCGCTTCGGAACTGACAACCGTGCTACATTCTCCGGTCAGAGGGATTGCGGTGGAGCACTCTCAGGGTAACCCCATCATACGCGGCAAACTCACCGTTAGATCCTGCTTGCTATTGTCATGACCGGCTTGGTTCTGGCGCCTCCCGATTCGGGTTCCATCCGCGAGAACGAATACCTAGAGCCTCGAATGCCATTTGTCCGGATGTGTTCCACCCATGCAATAAATTCGATTCTTCGCTATTCCAAACAGCCGGACTACGAGGACACGTACGCTGGAGTTCCCGCGCAAACTCCGTCGAGGAAGATTTCTTCGTCATCCGGAATCTACGACGATCCCTACTACTGTGGGCTGAAGGCCAGGGTGCCTAATTTCAATCGAGATTACAACTACAATCGCAGAGATCGTGAACGGCTGCAGAAAGACGCTATCTATGCGTACGCCTCATCGAATCACTCATCGAATTACCTCAACTCACTCTACGGATTGCGCAATAGAGAGAACGGAATATACCGTAAGTATCTGACCCCACAGGGAGAGAATATCATCAGCGGAGCGAGGGGCATTTAGAAAAACGGGAGACGCTCCCGGCAGTAGACTAGACCGAGAACGAATCGCGGAAGGAAACTAACCGAGACACGTCTTGCACGCAGAATACTTCACATGCGCGTCTGAAGTCAGACCCTAGGAGCACAGAAGACCACACTCACACAACACGTACACCGTGGTCCTTTAAACTGATCCGAGAAATCACAGGAAAACATTGAATTCTCAATGACGGCGGGCTCCGTTTGTCCATCGACTTCATGCCCTTGTTGTTTCAGAGAGCGCAGACCACGACTACTCGAAAATCTACGGAGTTCTCCCGCTGAGACAAAACTCAACAGCACAGAGTTCAAGCTCATCTTCGTCGGCAGGCGCGACGCCCACGTATTCGCATGCTCGCGAAGTCTTCGTCGGAGAATGGGAATGAGGCATATGACAGAGTTGGATTTTTCGAAGAAAATCCGCGGGATCGTTGGACGACAGGATCAAACCGAGTCACTAGATAGTCGTGATTGTGTGCGTGCGCTAGTTCACAGCGTTCTCATCCAGAAGCCGGACATAGCAAGGGTTCACCGGACGAATGTATGATGAAAACTATCCGCGGCTTCTCTTCCACACGCCGATGACGAGAACCGTACTTCTTCCGCGACAGTAAGAAGCTTTGAGTGAACGAACGACTCATTCCGTGAGGGAACACTTGTAGAACGCGCCATTTACTAATAATAAAAGAAGGTGATTCAATCGTTCATACCATAGATCAGCGATGTTCTTTTTCGGGCACTCCTCACTCTAAACAGCATTGATTGGAAGGAAAAGCTTCTTCTTCTCAGCTTTCTGCGAACAATACTCTGAGGCTCTGGGGGTTTGGCTGATCATCCCTCCCAGCTGAGCCTTGGAAGCTCTGAAGGATGCATATGTATATCACGCACGGATATACACGAATCATGCGGATGGTGAAACTCTGTCTTGATCGGGCATCGAGCTACTCCGGTAGCGCTGACGCGTCGCTCATCTCCAGCTTCATCCGGACTAGGATTCCTCACGGGCGAGAGGCGCGGCAATAAATGGCTTCACATATAGGTGAAAGTTCATTCAGAACTCAACAGTGTCGGTGTTTCAAGGTACATGATGGTTATTCAGCACGAGCCGTGGATTTTGAGTCTCTCTGAATGGGTTGGCCTCGGCTCCACTCTAGGTTTTCCAAAGATCCGCGTAGTTCAGGACCTGCAGATCCTGGACTCGCAAGGTTTCATTCCTGTGCGACAGATTTTATGATTGGATCCATATACGCAGAATATGTCGAGCATATGCCTGTCCGGGAAGTTCCCGTGCCTCCATATTCTTGATACCATATCCTAGGATATCGACTAGCCAGGGTGAATCTCATGTCAGTTATCATCCTTCAGTTCGTTCCAGCGACGGGTGTCTCGACAGGGATGCGGCTTCCGTTTTGCTCAGAGTCTCCAGATCTCGGGCCTTCAGGCAGAACCACGGTAATCGAATCCGGTGTCCAGCCCCCGGCCAGTTCCAGATCGGCGATCTTCGAGGCCAAGATCCAAGATCTCCTCTCTGAATTTGACCGCATTCAACGAGCCTTTCGGTTGTTAGAGCTTCGTGCTCGGAGTCGAAGGCTGCCCAGAAGTCGATAAGTCAAGCGTGGAGTCGGTGGGGGGCATCTACGAGTTTGTGCTCGATTTCGTTCATAAGTATCTTGCTCGTCGACATCGTGGAAGAACCCTCAAGGAATCCTTGCTGTTCATCGGGGATGATGCCTTTAAACTCCACGAACAGGATAATTCGCTTGAGAATGACGCTGGACACGAGTTTAGAGACACAGCTTTTTTCCGCAGTGCCTGTCCAGTCTCCAGGACTGTGGGTCGGAAGGGCATCCCTCCGCTTCGGGGATCTCTGGCATTTGGCCATCTAGCCAGGCCGTCGGGTTCCGTGAAGACATCACATGACAGCTCACTCGAGTGGGCATTGCTCCATTGCGGAACGCCGCGCTGTCAGGAATTCTGCTTCATGAGCACGGCGGAAGACGGAAGTAGCATGTGACTCTCTCAGAGATCGGAACGAAAGGCTCGAAATTGACTGGGTTGTATTTCGCTCACTAGCTCATGGGTTCAGGAGGGATTCTCCGTTCCGTCAACCAGGAAAGTTTCTCGGCGGAATTCGGTATACGGTAGGTGGCGCTACGGAATCGAGAGTAACGACTTGCTTGTATGATATCGTTTCGATAATAATGTCGGCTCTTGCGAACCTTGGTCTGATTTTTCGGGCGTTGTCGTGCGCTCTCGGCGACGGCCTCTGGCTCATGGAACGACACCCCTTCCCAAGAAGAAAGACTCTCCGCTGTGGGCGGTTTCATCTCGCTCTCCGATGAAGCATTCCATATAGGATTTTGGACGGCTATTTCTACAGAATGATCCCGGGAAAACGGAAATATCTGAGAAACGTCAGAAACGAGAGTTAGTCCCAGGAACAGCAGCGGGTCGCTCATGAAAAACCGTGTTATTCTCCCCAGCCGACTCTTTCCTTCATCCATTCACTCGTGACGATGCTCGGGTTTTCAGAAGATTTCAGCGAAGTTCCCGAGTTTCTTGTCTCCATCGCGACATCTGACTCTTTGATTCCGCGTCCGAAACTCTTTCAAAAAACAAGTGATGATCATGAGTAGGAAAGGAGATGGCGACGAAACAACATGTCTCGGTTCTCCCATCACGCCTGAACACGTGATCATCGCCGGCGTGTGTGTCGTCCATAAGAAATAAGCACCTATCACCGAACACACCGCCGAGCGGACGGACGAAGCTTGATGCTTGATACGCCAGATCTTCCGAACTCGGCCGATCTTTTTCGGATCTGTGCATGTTCGAGCTCTTTTGGAACAGTGAGGTCTTCATTAGGCAGCAAAGGAATCGATATCGATGAAGCTGTGCGTGATGGGCATCAAGGGAGAGCGGTAATGGTCCGATTGACCTCCCGTTCCTGTCTCTGCTAAAATCCCATTCGATTCGCCCCGATCTATGCAGGTACAGCTATCGGAATCGACCGCCAGACTCGCTTCGGCGAAGCCCGACTCGTAGATTCCCGATAATTTCCGATGCACAGGCTCGAATCCATGACACTATTGAACAAGAACTCGAGGTCCTGCTTGAGGGGTCAACGGCTAGCTGGCGACCACATTCCCACCGAGCTGGTTTCAAGATGAAGGGGAACCCCGGGAGGAGATCACTGAGAAGCTCGGACGCTGGAGAATAATAAGGAGATGAACATGAATTTTCGATGCACAGACGTGTGACCTCTAAAGTCCCCTCTATTTTTACGGTACCTCCCAGTGAGCAAACCTGGGTTAGATGAGACACCGGAGATGTTTAGGAAAAGAATAGCCCGAGGCTCGTCGTTAGTATTCTCGAGATCGCCATGATGATATTGCACAGCCAACCGAAAGTCCCGCATATAAGGGACTTATTTTATCAGATACGGTCAGATGTGAGGGCCCATTCTTGGGTTCATAATAGCTATTCCATGCGAGCTATTTAGTGGTAATTATCGCAATCGATTCTGTGATAGCTAATCCTTCGCATCCTTATGGAGCCTTCTAGAGCAAGAGTTAGGATGGCGATCTCAGTTACGATACACAGATAATGGGAATCTCACCCCAGCCAAGCTACACAGTTCTTCAGAGATCGATATCAATCGATATGTAGATATCGATGTATCGATATCGATATTTGTCGATACAAATATTTACACAACACTGGATACGGGACTCGCGCGTTGGTGCCTGTGGGGAACGCAGGGTCTTTCATATGCGGGGCTCTAGAGGACGAATTAGTACGATCGAGCCGACTCTTCTCGGAGCTCAAAGAAATTTTGAATCCATCAGGGCGCTTCTCAATATTGGCTGGCGCTCGTCAATGTTGAACAAGACAGCACCATTGTGAGACCATGCGTGGGATCGATCCTCACGGAACAACACATGCTGACGCTTGCTTCATGCATGTTGGTGTGTGATACATTCAGCAAGGCATCCAGGTGAAGCTCAAGCCCCGGACCATAGATGAGGCAGGTACACTTCGATCTCGAGAGTCACCGGCGTTTTTTTCCCTCGACTCTTTTGCAGGGCGACAATTTATTCCCCATCGTCGAAAAATGTCAAAATGTACCACGATAACCCGAATGTCTCCCTAGTGCTCCCGTGTGTTGTTAGTCCGCGCCGCTACGTTCTGAAAGACTCGAGGGTACCGATATGTTTTGGTGAACACGACAAGATTTCGCAAAGCAGAGAGCGATCTCGCATTCATGGATTTAAGCAATCATCAAGTAATATATTATTATTCCAAAGCCATCCCGCCTTCGAACTTCGATATCAAGGGGACGATATCCCCCCCGACCTCGCTATCCTCGTCGTCGAATCCAGGACTGTTCCTGCCCGTTCTAACATCAGACTATGCGTGTCGATGAGGTGGGCACCTAGTGTGATGAATAGTGATCTGGACTTCGTCATGCATTGGACTTTCAAGTTACGTGAGCTGTGGGAGATCGGCATATCCGGGGAAATTCTGATTCCGATAGTTGACGAGGGGGCGGTCTACTTTTTTTTCTTTCATTTTTTTCGCATTGTATATGCAGCTTAAGCATCAAGAAAGTCGTTTCACTATTCTTTTAAGTGACATTCCTTCGAATTTCGCATACTCCAGTAGGTGCAGACGGGCGATTTACATCTTCCCACAGTATGTACAAGCACAATCATTGTCTGCTACGGTGTAGAAGTCTCCCCTTCCGCAGATTCACCTAACTGAGCCCGACTCCAGGCGTATTGGTCCCCCTAGCCTATGGAGACAGCGCGACAACCTCCGCGGAGTATACAGCTGTCTCGGTAGAAGAATCGAAAGAGCAGTCGTCCCAGAAGTCCTTCCGCATCAAAGGCCCCTCGAAACTCTGTGAGAAAGTACAGCTTTCATGTGCAATCTCTCCGCTTCCTGATTGAGCTCAGAAGTGCTTACCGTCATTCTATTCCCCGTCTTCTTTTCCTCCCCTCAGGACGGGGCTCCCTTCATTTCTCTGTTTAAGGCAGGGCATACTTGGCGGGTGAAATGAATTTCAGTACTCATTGGTAAATAACTTCGGATATGAGGGAAATTTCCCGATGATGGATATACCGCTGCCCAGAGGAGAATCATCTCGAACCATGATTCTGAAGCATGTGTCGCTTTCGGCGATGTGAGAGTGATAAACCTCACATCTAACACTGATTGGATCAAGCGAGCCCTAGACACTACACGCGATTATGAGAGCGGTCGGCGCCAGAATGATCTCGGACGAGTAGATCAGCTGTAAGCCCGTGCCTACGCGGAGCTCACAGAAGGCAGCGAAATAAACGGAATTTCCAGCTCTGACGCGATAGTTCTGAGCGAGCTCCTCTCGAGCTCGATAAACGGGACGACATCCCACTGCTCCACCGATAATAACTCCGCGCGCAGGAAAGTGCTCCGCGAGTCGAAGAGTTATCCTACAGCAGACGACGGACCGATCAGCTGTTCCGGGGAGAAGCGATTATTATCCGGTGGTGTACCGAGCGCGGATCCCAATTCACAAACCAGGGACTGGAAGACGAGGAGTGAATCTGAGACCCCGGCTTGGAGCATGGTGAGAGTCGTCTGAAGATGTCCGACTCCAAGTACAGGCTGTTGTCCCATCCCACGACCGTGTAGAGCCCTACCGCGCGACGCGTGACATAGAACGATATTTTCGAGTGTCCTGAAAGAGGTATATTTGCAGGCCAAGCTGAATCTCTATCAGACATTGAAATACCTATCCTATGCGACTACAGGCGGGCTCGGTGTCATCGTCATTTCGAAGTTCTACCTTCGGAGACACTTCGAAGCCTACGGGTATTATAAGGTTTGTAGGGAGAATCGCATCTCCCCTCATCCTATGCGTGCATAAAGTATCTTGAGCATTCAATGCAGGGAATGAACGACTAGGATTACTCTCAATAATTCATGCCCATTGAAATTCCAGAAAACAATAAAAATCACTGGCGAGAATGCAGTTGTCAAAAAGCTGCTCGGTGAGCCGATCGAGTTCGGAAAACTGGATCTCGGTGAGTCTTCCGATCGATGATTAAGAGAGTTCCTTGTCGGACGTGTTTTATTTGTCGAATTCACTGTAGCGAAGACCGACCACCACATCTACCAGTGAATCGTCTTCGATCGGATAGTTCCACCGACCGTCGCGTCGTGAGGCGTCGGCAAGGCTAAAAGAGGATACTGCGAGCTCCATCTTCATCAGAATGTCAGAAGAACGAGATGATCCCATCAGAGGAAATTTGAGGTTCTTCTTCTGAGATCGGGAGGATAAGTCCAGGACGCGCCGCGCCGCCTCCCGCCTCCCTTGTGGAGCATACTTGACGAAGAATCAACGCTACATCCATTTTATTTCGCATTGAAAAATTCCAGGTGATGTCGCTAACTTCTTCGCTACTCCCGAGAAAGCGTTCTTCTCGATCGGCGTTTGGGGTCCGTCTGATTCTGGGGCTCTGACGTCTTACTGCGAGAGATCGCCGAATGGAGTCCGCACGGAAACGGAGGACAGCGGAGAAGAAGCAGATGATGGTTGGGAGGTCATGCGAATCGAGCTGAGAGTGAAGAAGCTGAAGGACAAGAGACTGATCGTTTTCAGGAGACCCGAGGCAGACCTGGAGTATGTGAATACATTTCGAGATTCAGTGCATCAGCTGCAGAAATGAAGCTCCGAAACTCCTCTCGGAATCGAGAGCTGACACCGATCGCGAACTGCCATTATGCTGCACGTCAGAAATAAATGCAGCTTAATACACTTTAATAAATGTATGCAGCCGGACCGGACTCGACCCCGATTCTCCGCAAAGTTTGCAGCCGACTTCGAGTCGGCCCCTAGCTGAATGATCCATGCTCACCATTCTTCGTCATACAAAACGTCGTATTACGATGATGCCTTACGGCTATACGTGCGGTTCGTAGTTTAGGCGTAAGAAACGCAGCATTTCCACCGGCTCATCCCTTGGGTCTGCCACAACCTCTGAATGAGTCATTTGAACAGGCAGAGATCAGCCCGGTGTTCTCATCATCATCACCGACAGCTAAGGGATCTTTTTTCTGCTCTCTCTCGCTCTCTCGTTCGTCGTTGTAAACATAAGTCTCACTGGTCCTCGGCGGCGGTACTTTTCCAGTCGCTTCCATCAGCAAGCGAATTCCGGTGCCGTGTATGTGAGAAAAACGCCACCGATCCCCCAACTAGATATCATGGAGGCACTTTACGCGGCTCCATTCTGCGTAATTCACGCGCCAAACCTCCGGCTGCGGAAACCGTCATGGCTCAAACAGCCATCCCCCATGACAGTGTATGCATTCGTTCTCCTGAGTTATTTCCTCGTTTGCGGAGGAATCATTTATGATGTGATCGTTGAGCCACCTTCGATCGGGAGCACCGTGGACGAGCATGGCCACTCAAAGCCTGTGAGTATATCGCGACGGCGACGTTCTGCGAGCAATATTCGACTAAAAATTCCCCGAGACCCTCCGCGCTGTCAAACAGCTGATCGTGATCTTCCTTCTCGAATATGAGCGGAAAATTCTTCTCCCGAGACCAATGCTCCCGCTCGGACTCGGATTGGTTGGATAATCCGGTCAAGTAAAGCCTGCTAGCTGAGCAGCTGGAGAATTTCAGGTGGCCTTCATGCCGTACCGTGTTAACGGTCAGTACATCATGGAAGGATTAGCATCTTCATTCCTCTTCACAGTCGGCGGTCTAGGTTTCGTCATCCTCGACCGAGTCCAAGAACAACCATCCACCCCTCGGCTCAACAAGGTATTCCCATCATATTCTGAGGATTGCGGTCGAACCGTGGAATGATTATTGTATCATTCACTCTAAGTTGTGCGGGTCAGGAAGAGCTTCCCTGAACGCAGTACGATCCGAAGTCTCTACTGCAACTGCTAATTAATAAAGATAACTCGAAATCTTCCAGCTGCTGTTGACTGCGGTGGGCTTTCTGTGCATCTTGGTCTCGTTCTTCACGTGCTGGGTTTTCATGAAAATCAAACTGCCTGGATACTTGATGGGATAATAAAGTGCTCCCCTGCAGCCTCTCGTGAGCTCCCCTTTGAGCTCCGAGTTCTTATCAAGATCGCGATCATATTCGTCGCGCTCTCCGGAGCTGGCTTTCAATTGTACATATGGAAAGATAATAAGCCTACCGAGAAACACCATGAGATGAGAATGAACGAATGATGAAAAGAGAAAGATGATGATGAAATCAAATGGCGTTTTCTTTCGCGGACCGCCAGAAGTCGAGGAGAGTTCTTCGAGTTGATATCATTGCGTTTTTCAAATCATTGCTTGGTCTCGGAGGATGGCTCCGCCCAACAGCTGAGAGGAATGCCGAGCCACAGACGGGCAATTACCGTCGTATCGGGCACAGTTTGGTGTCGGTGATATGGACTACGCCCCGAACCCGACGGAGGAGCGTTCCGCGAGGCTCTGCTTGCGAAAGAGTCGCCCATCCCTTGCGATTCCTGCGATTCTCTCGATGGGGTTCAAGCATACAGAAGAATCTAATCGAAAGGGTTCCGTATATCAGTCACCGTGCAGGGAATCGTAGATCGTGCGCGGATCGCTGTCTTCTATCCATCCGAGTAACGGATCTGCATCGGCGAGCAATCCGTTTTATCGAGGCCGCGGCTACCTCACATCATCGAATATACAGGTGAATCAGGCACTATCCACGGACTCCGAATACTCAAGTGCTCGAGATCGGCACAACACAACAAGAAGGGTTTTCTCATGAGTTCATCGATAACTATTCATTTATTATAATACATATGTTATTATCATGATATTTTACCGGCTTCATTTATAATACAGAACAATAACATTATTACCCACACTCTGACCGACGCCACAGCCCAGCGTCCGTGAACAACAGCTTGACATTACCCTCTCCATGATAGTACAGTTTACCTTCCTCAATCATCTCTTGTACTACCGAATTATGAACTTCAAATGTTCAGCATCGACGATCCTCTCGTCAGCGTTCCATCCCGTTTTCACTGTTGACATAACTGACGTGTTCGGGACAAGCTCTGGATGCTATCATATGAGACGCAAGCGACAAGGGGACCGAGAACATAGCGCTCAGCTGGATTTCATGCTCACCTAAACCCCTTCAAGCGCAGGTCGGCCTCGAATATATCTGTGGATGTATTAAGATATTCCGGGACGAAGGAGTCGCTAGATGCGACATGAGAGCGAACGAGATCTGCAGGAGCGGGCACGAGCATCCCGTGACATAGAACCGAGATTCGGAAACAAATTCGGAGTCCGAACCGCGTCGTGGATGGTCCTCACGATGACAAGCACCTGTAAGCTGAGAGTGCATGGGCGGCAGCGGGCCACGAAGCCGCTCCGGACAACTCTACAGGCGAATCCCAGCCACGGGGGAAAAGAAATCGAATGCTCCTCACGAAGAAAACACGGTTGACGCTGTTCCCGGTTCGGATCCAAGGGGGGCGTCTCGTTTCGAGTATGCATGAGTCCTTCGAATTTCTCATGAACACTGAGCTTCTCTTGTTTGAAGCTCAGATCAAGCGATCGTCGTGATAGCCTCACATTCGAGATCTTGTACTGGATTCTCACAGAAAGACCGCATTTCCAGAGTACTAGAGGAGCTCGCTCGGCTCCCGGCACTCACAAATTGATTATCGGAATTTCAATGCATTTTCCCCAGTCCATCCTGTCCCGAACGTGACTCTTCCTTCGCGATATGGTCCCACGGCGCGGCTCCATAGGTACTTCAAGAGATGATCGGAAAGCTGGGTCGGAGCAGGGCTTTGACTGTTTGAGGAAGCTTCGGACTTGCTTTGGCAGAGAGAACAATTCATGAACTAGTTTGCACCCTTAAGCGTATTTAACAATGGCGTTGCCAACTCCTCTGGTAGTGGCTGATGGAGAATCTGAGTAATTTGTTCATTGCTTTTTGCTTCGACGATCGCGGGTCGCAGCTGGATTAAAATTATTTTGGCCGTCGTCGTTAAATGCTTGCAACCGAGCTTGCCCACGCATCCGCCGAGGATCTTATCCCAGACCCTGTAGAGCAGAAAGCTTTCATTAGAGCTTCGTAGAGAGTTCCATCGACGGAGTGGCTGAATAATAGAAAGTGCCGATGGAGAATGAACTCCAGGGGTATAGACTTCAAGCTCAGGCTCTCCCTCGGGCTGGCCTGATTAGGGCTCATGGAGAAATGTCGCTGCTCGCAGGGGACTCTCGCTGGCGCTCTATACTTACTTGAGCAGAGCGCTCTCAGGTAGGACAGAGGCGAAATATAAATTGAACCAGTGCTGTATGGAAATCGTGCCATCCTGAGATCCCCGAACAAGACACTCGAGTAGCGTCGGGTCGTCTTTTTCCAACAAACTTCGTGTTTGACTGATCTACGGTCAAATAGTTAAATTAGCGTATTGCCGCGAGTGGCTCGGCTGCGGGTCCGCGACGTCAAACATCGGCCATCAATCTATTTCCCGCCGTAGGCGCTCAGGCTCTGGTGAAGCGTCGAACTCACCAAGTCATTGGTGTCGAAGCGGAGTTCCACCATGTGATTATGGAAGTTCCTCGCTAACCAGTAGGCGTCTTGAAGCTTGGATGCGACATGGCACATCACCCCAAACACTTGTTGGAGATCTCGAACGATTGCCGAATCCAGTTGACTCTTGTGGTTCATCTGGAGTTCCCCTCTCTCCAGCAATATCATCAAGGTGACCTGAAGTTGAAACAGATCGGTGAATTTGATCATTTTGTCGCCGGATAGATAAGGACGCTCGGAAGGAGACGTTAGAACGCTTCTCACTGTTTCAACAGGAGACGATTTCGCGTCGATGAGACGCATCACTTCTAACGTTGACTTGAGCATCTCGAATTGTCCTCTCCGGTCCTCTTCGATCGATTTAGCTATCCTTGAATCGGCCGGGGTGATTCCTGTGGGGTGGAAAGACATGTTTGGACCAAAGAATTTCTGATAGGGGTGACCGAAAATGATTCCAAGGAGCTCTTTTCATAGATGGCTCCCACAGGGAGAGGAAGACAGGAGTGGTTCGACTTGCATCATAATTGAAAAATTTTCGAGACCGCTTCTGACGCTGCTATCAGGCCGGAAGCTTTTTTAGAAGCTCCCGTACGCTCAAGTGTCTTCATGAATTTAATGCTGTGAGCTCTCGCTGACTCCAGAATTCACATCTTGAGCCGCCTCGGTCGACTCAAGTACCTTCCAATTCAACATCCGCTGCAGATGCGGATTTCGATTTCCCGTCCACCAGGAAACATCATTATTGAAAGGTACAGGCTCGCGGAGCCTCCGTCACTGCGGAAACTTGTCGCATATCGGGGAGGCAATCTCTGTGGCCTCATTGCGAATGGTAGACACATCAGACTATCCAGAATCGCTCGGAGAGTATTCATCTTCTCTGTTCGAGACGGACTTCTCGAAGTAGCGATTGCATCATCGAGTTCGAGAAGCTTGCAAAGATCCCAACGACATAGATTGCCCCCTGATTACTCGAATCGAGAGCGAGAAATCTTCTAAGAGATCGGTGAAACGTTCTAGAAAAGATCCAGAGATTGAGTCTAGTGTTATGGAAACATCGATGTATCGAACGGCCTCCGTAGCGTAGGTAGTAAGTGTAACATCGGAGCAACAGGGCAGTTGAGCCCCCCAGCATCCGCAATTCTGGGGTCTCGCTATACATCCCGGGTCAATCAGCTGATCTGGGTTTCAGCTTGATCAGGATCGTGGATTTGTTTGCACTTCCGAAGCAACGAATCGCATCATGTGAATCGGTATTCAACGTCGCAGGGATCTGCCTCGAGTCCGTGGACAAAAATGAGCTCCAAGCCCCGCAAATTGTCGGCAAAAATTTTCTCGTGCTTGTCCCTGAATCATGGATCACACAGCTACTCCATGGAAAGCCACTCCTGTACATATTATTCCGTCGGCACACTCCTCTCCCCCTCTCGACAAAATGCGCGCTAAATCACATGTAGAGGTAAAGCGTAAATTGAAAATAATGAAAGTCTTCTCGCACTCACCTAAAACAAGTTTCCATAGGCGTTCTCTATGGGAAGCCGGCACTGTTATCCGTTGCAAGAGACAGCATAACTTCCCTATGTCTACAGGATTGCGGCTGAGAGCCTGATCGAGGGCTTTTGTCTCGTTAACATTCCTGGAAAAATTCACCTTCTCAGACCAGCTCGCATGTTTCCAACCAGCTCGGACGAGGGAATCCAATAAGAGGGGTCGGGGCCCCAGTGTTTGAGTCTCGACCGCTGGCCCTAGCAACAATTGTATTCTAAGAGGAACGTCTTCTCCGATGCAATCTCTCTCCGGAAGAGGCCGATTCGTTGCACTGTACACCCCGGAGCACACGTCCAAACGTCAGAAAAGTCAAGAAATCCAAGTGCCCTCAGAGGTAGTCGAGAATCGGACATAGCACATCCCTCAGAATTTTTAGATGGCGTTCACCGATGCTCAGCTCTTTCACTCAAACACTTGTCCGACCTTCAACGTACCGGATTCCGGCCTTATCGTAGTACGAAGACCTGAAATTTCCAGCGGACTCGGAGCCGGCCATCGTCAAAGGCAGCGGCCTCCGCTTTAGAGTTCTTCTCGAAATGTTATTTGTATAGGGAGGCCTTTAGCAAGTTTCTCAAACAGCTGTCTGACTCCAAGAGGAGAGGGCGACTGTGTGTGTGTGTGTATCTGTAAACACCAGAATTGGGTGGGAAATAATTTTGACGGTATAATACAAAATGGTTTAATTGAGTCAAGGGAATGTTGGCGACTCAGTGGGGAAACTCTTTTCGGATAGTTCGCTCCAAAAAGCGACTCTCACGATCAGCTGATCGACCGCGGCTGATTCGATAAGCACCCCGGAGGAGGAATGGAACCCAACTCTACCGATTCCTCTATCCCGACGGATGTCTTGTGGGTTCGACATGACCATACCAGGCTCGAACACGGTTTCTGATCCTTCTGACATGAGTTCCAGCTGATTTCTCTATGGAGGAAAGTCTCATTTTGAAAACTCCCGCCGTTCTGGCGCTTACGTCGGCACCGGGGAATCTTTAGCGGCAGCCACGTCTTCCACACACAGCTGGAGCTATCGAATAGAACGAACCAGAAGAGAGAGCTATACGCTGTTGACCGCGTTGTGTTTTTGAGAAGTCCCCTAGCGAGAGTTGAAGTCTGCTGATCAAGAACCGGTGAGCTCACAGCCTGGGTGTAGAAAAGTAATTAGGGTGACTTTCCTGTGAATTCCTGGATCGGACCGGGTAAAGTTGAGTCGAGCATGATACGACCGAGGAAATTAGCCGGAGGAGCACGACCCGCTCCTATCGAGAGTTGCTCGCCGCTTTTTACCCACGGACTCTATCAACACTTTTGCTCTCCGTGAAGTTGGCATCCCCTTCTCGCACGAGATCTTCCTCTAGGCAGGAAATTTTCCCGGTGATACCGGAAGTCTGACCCGTCTACCCGAAAAAAGTCGAGATCCGACGCATTCGACTCTGAGCGGTCTTCTCGGGAAAGGCGTGAAATTCGCAAAATTTCGGTGGATGATAATTGAATTCACGGAATCCCTTGGAGGTTCCGATTACGCTGCTGGCCGCAATAACCTGTGTGTGAAGACTCTCGATCCGATCCGCCCCCTCTTTTTCCAAGCGTTCGATGTGTTTTACGACGATCGAAAGAATGAATCCCACCGTTCTCCGGATGCGAGGATTCCCCGAGTAATTTCCGGGGAAATCGTACAGGTGGTACATGAAATGCGTGATCCGTGGCATCGGAGTTTCTTCTGTAGATTGAATCAATCGAACTCTGCTGGTTAGCAGACATCGGAGGCTCGCTGACGCCCTGTATCTTGGATAGACCGAAAGGCTAAACGAATGAGTCATGTCGCATTTAGAAGCTGTGGCTGAGGAATGCTCAGTTAAAGGCTCCAGTGGTTAGCTTCGAGGTATGGAAAGCGAAAGCATTGGCGACGTCAGAATGTTTTACCAATGCCATTGGTTTGTGAGCTCCCACAAGAATAAAAAACACGTCTGTGACCTCGGGCTTTCTGTTCTGACGGGAATTTCGCTTGCGGCGAAGCCGCCGGGAGGCTTCGGGGGCGATCCGTTACACATTCTGACTCGTGACTATGAAAGCCCCATGAGCCGTGCCCTGTATCCTGCAGGATTATCTCGAGCCTCGAGTTGATCTTCGAGCTCGTCCAACATTATCCGTGGGCGTGTGGCGCAGAGATGTATAGGTGCTCGAATCGGCGGCTTTAATCCTTTCCTTTTGAATCCATAACCACGAGGATGCCGGAAGGGTTTCTCGACGCTGCTGTCTCCCGGTCTACTCCCTAGCAGAGGACAAAATAGTTTTCGTCGACATGACTGTTTCGCGAGCTCGGTCGTAGAAGACATTCCCGATCGATCCGATCCTCGATTCTTCCGCTCGATCCTACTGCGGAAGGAGAAGCGGGAGGGATTCGTTCTGCGGTATCCCGACTCGTACTCGGTGGAGCTCTGTCGGACTCCGCCGCAGGACTCGATGGGACTCGTCCGGAAATGATGTTTCTTTCCGTCGCAGTCAGGCGGCTCTCTCCGATTCAGTTTTGCGATCTGTATGGCAGGGGGCCCATTGTCTTTGTCCAACCGATTGCTTCTCACGAGACCGGCTGATTCGATCGCGACGACCTAATCATGCATCGATGTGCCTGTTGTAAAACACAAGGTCTCCGTCTCATGCTCAACACCCGAAAGTTATGACCATCGAGAACTGATATCCCCAACCCTAATACTTCTGGAACCGATGACTATTGCGAGCGATGAGTGCCCTCTCTCGGTCCGTCAGAAATTCGCGAGAAATCCTGGGATCGCGACGACTGCAGGAAATATGCTAGAAAAAGCGTCCGGAACGACTAGTCAAACACTTGTGGCGTTACGCTCTCGGGCGCGAGACGAGAAGCGCTGCAGGCGAATCAGGGAATCGAAACTAATTTCTTGGATCTCTCGGGTTCCCGACGATCGATGGCCTCGAAGGAAGAAGCGTGATTCACATTTTCACTCCATCTGAAATGCCCGTTCCATTCGAGCGGCAGCCGGTGCGAGACCTTCAAAAGTTTCTCCGCGGTCACTTAACCCATTTCTCTAAGGGTAATCTGAGCGTGTCGACGCTGGGGACAAGGGATGATTGTCCGATGACGCTGGGCACACGAGTGCCTCCGAAAAGAAAGAAGACTCGTGTCTAGCTGCAGAGGCTTGCCTTTTTTCCGAAGCAGACATATCCTGTTCAGCATGCTTCGGATTCTCGACCAGGTCTGTTCCAAGCCTTGCTGAATCCCAGTCGGTCACTCGGTCAGTCACGAGACTTCGCGGCAGTGACAGCGATCGACGGCGCCGGGAGGTGGCGAAGTACGGCTGGCATCGTCCGGAATCATTAGGGAGCTATGGCTCACGGCGTATGGAGTGGAAGGAAGCTGCGTCGACTCAGGCTATCTGGCGCGGATTGCGAGGATTTGAAAATCATAAAGCTCCGACATGAAAGAGAACTCGTTCACATCTCGCTCTCACTAATTCATGATCAACTAAAGAGGAAAAAATGCATTTTCAGGTCTCTGGCACTCTAGTGGCATTGTGCGGTCCAGAATGTTCTCCTGGTTAACGAAAGACGAAAGTCGGAGGAAGAATGGTGACACCTACGACTCCGTGGTAGAAGGTAAGCTCGATCCAGATCCCTTTCGCACCTCACTTCAACGGTACCGATACGTTACCGAAACGTGTCGTAGCCAGAGGTGACGGCTCGGGGATGGAAGATGAGGAAAGATCCGATCGGCCACGCTCGAAAATGCTGAAAATGTATCGATTCCTCCTACCGAATTCTAAACCTTCAAAAATCTAACTCTTGAATCGGAACTCGGATTTGTTGTGACAAGGCAGTTGGAAAAGGACGCTCCCATTGAATCTCCGGTCGAAAAGTCCGAGCACCACACTAACATTGCTCCTTCGAGTAGGTTGCTTGAAAGGACGATTGCTGTATTTTCTCGTCAAGCTGGTCCCTGCAAGCCGTTCGCTGGCTTAGCGGCCTTGAACCGAGGCCACAGCCGGCGTTTCGTGGCCATGACGTTTAGAGTACTTAGGCTATCAAGTATCCCGCTCGACCTTGCATTACTCAAACATCGAGAACTCATCGAGAGCTTCCAGCTATGATTCCTCAACGTAGCGGATGACTCCGGGAAGTCTCGTGTCCCGGGAGATGTCTGCCGTTTGTTATTGAAAACAATGACCTCACTCCGTTCAGTATCTCTACTCTATCTCTTTGACGGCTTCACGAACATCATCAGCTTCAATAACATTCCTGCCGAGCACGTTGACGCCGACGCGGCGAGCCGCTTTCCGATAACCGCGTTACGATTTACCTCTACCGTAACTCTCGCAGATGGTCTCGCTCGAAGAAGCGAAATTGAAGCAATGAGCGGCGTTGATGGGATGTAGGGAGGCTCTCGACTCATCGAGACATTCGTTGCTCGCTTCGGCAGATACATGTTGGTCGATTTTCCTTAAGTTATTCCCCTGTGCTCCTCCCCAGGTCTGAAGAAGATATACAAGGAGAAAATTCTCCCTTTGGAATCGTTCTACAATTTCCACGATTTCCACTCGCCCAAGCTCGATGAACCAGATTTCGATGCCAAACCGATGGTGTTGCTCGTCGGTCAATATTCGACGGGTAAAACCACATTCATCAGGTACGTAACAACCCGCATACATCACCGCTCCTTATATGACCAGAACGGAGCTTGATCCTGCTCTAGTGATCTACGCCGATGGTTGATTAACGCAGCTCAAAATAATTCTGAATAAATCTAAGACACCTTCGTTCACAGATATCTCCTCGAACGAGATTTCCCGGGCATCCGGATCGGACCGGAGCCCACCACCGATCGCTTCATAGCCGTCATGCACGGGGACCAGGAGGGAGTCATCCCTGGTAACGCTCTAGTAGTCGATCCGAAGAAACAGTTCAAGCCATTGTCGAAGTTCGGTGGGGCTTTCCTCAATCGACTTCAGTGTTCCACCGTAGATTCACCCGTACTCCGGAGCATGACAATCGTCGATACACCCGGTAAGTTCGCAGATTCTCATGCGTAGGACTCGGATCAGGATCCGAGGATCCACAGAGAGTTTCTTCCGTCCGCGTTTTGGCAACCATTCCCTGTTCATCTGGTGCTCGCCACTCTCAGCTGAGCTTACCGACGCATCCAGATGCGGAACGTGGAATCTCTGGGATGGGATTCGACGTGACATCTTATCGGTTCATTTTTCACTCAGGAATTCTGTCCGGAGAGAAACAACGAACAGATCGAGGCTACGAGTTCACGAAGGTGTTGGAATGGTTCGCCGAACGAGTCGACCGAATTATTCTGTTGTTCGACGCTCATAAACTCGACATCTCGGATGAGTTCAGACGAAGTATCGAAGCTCTCCGGGGACACGATGACAAGATCCGAATCGCGCTTAACAAAGCTGACATGGTCGATGCGCAACAGCTTATGAGGGTAAGTTTCCTTGCGAGAGAGCCACTGAACTCGCAGAAGTATTTCGAGGATCGCCTCATAGGGGGCTATCTCTCTCTATCTGTGTGTTGACTCGTGAATGCTCGCAGGTGTATGGAGCCCTGATGTGGTCCCTCGGGAAGGTTCTCAACACCCCAGAGGTTGCACGTGTCTATATCGGCAGTTTCTGGGACGAGCCCCTTCGCTTCGACAGCAATCGCAGGCTCTTCGAAGCCGAAGAACAAGATCTCTTCGCCGATATCCAGAGTTTGCCGCGCAACGCAGCCCTCCGCAAGCTGAACGATCTGATCAAGCGCGCGCGTCTCGCGAAGGTGACTCCTCTAACTACAATTCCGTCGCACATTGACGATTGAAATATAAAATGATTCGATATCGGTACATCCCCATCTACCGGCGTAGCGGCTACGCCCACGCCGTTCGGGTGAATCACGCCTTCCTCCTGACTGAATTCTCCCTACACAGGTCCACGCCTACATTATCAGTAGTTTGAAAAACGAAATGCCGTCGGTGTTCAAAAAGGATTCGAAGAAGAAAGAGCTCATCAAGAACTTGGGTCAACTCTATCAGCAAATCCAGAAGGAGCACGGAATTTCCAGCGGTGATTTCCCAGATGTGAAAGACATGCAGGAGAAATTGATGAACTACGATTTCACCAAGTTCCACCCTCTGCAAAAACGGCTCTTGGACGATGTTGACAAGATGCTAGCTACCGACATCGCGAAGATCATGGCTATGATACCGCAGGAGCAGACCGAAAAGAACACCGACAATCAAGTCAATGGCGGTCACTTCGAGAAGTAAGTGGCGCCCATGATCGGCATAGCTGCTCGTCCTTGATCTCTCCCCCCTCTATCCAATGGTCGTACAGGTCGAAGTGAGCACAAGCTGCTCTCAATTTCGGTCTTCTGCCGGATACTTCTTCCTTCCCCATACCAATAGTCTCCCGTCCCGTTCCCGTTTCCTCAGGCGGGATATTGGGATACCACCTACGTCCTTTTGACTCGACATGGAATGATGATGGCCTAAAGAAGTCCGATGTAAAACGAGGGGAACACTTACGGCGGTATTCGATACTAACCCACGTGTTCTTTCTGTCCAAAGTGCCCAGGGACCGTTCGTTTTCGGCAAAGGAGAAGGAGCCGACGAAGGTTCTCTGCAAAGAGAATGGGTGGTCGAGAAGGAGAGAGCGAGATACGATGAAGTTTTCGAAAGTCTCAATCCGATCGACGGCAAGATCTCCGGCCAGATGGCAAAGGATGAGATGCTGAAGAGCAAGCTACCGAGCGTTGTCCTCGGGAAGGTGAGATTAGTTCTCAGTCTTTTCGTCGCTGCACCAAGGCGGTCCTCCAGTCGACTGCTTCCAAGATTCAATGATTTATTGGATAATTATCCTCAATTATAACTCATTATCGTCTGGAAAATTATAATTATCTATGATCATGATGATGATCGTCGCTAAAGGTGTGGCTAGCACCCGACTCCCTAACTCGAATCATCTTCGCCAGGTTTGGAGCTTGAGTGACCTCGACAAGGATGGTCAGCTGGATGCCGATGAGTTTGCCCTGGCCATGCACCTGATCAACATCAGACTCAACGGACACAAACTGCCCGATGCCCTGCCCGGACATTTGATCCCACCATCGAAACGAGGATTTTCTGCGTCATAGGGAACGATTTTAAGCAATGGGAAGAAACAGTGTTAACTTAAAAATTTATGCCACAATTATACACTCGGAGTATGATCACAAGGCTTGTTGCCACAATCACAGCGCTCTGAAGATCACGCGGAGTCTCGAGGTGGAGGAAAGCTTCCGCGCTACGTGGCCCTCGGAAGCCACCTTTGTCGAGGGAAAATTCACGACGGTACATTCTTGTTGGAGAAACATATTTTGATAACATATCTTCTTGGACCGTTTCCTCAACCACGACTCTCGGATGTTTTTGTACATTTGTAATGTTGATCAAGACGAATAAACATATATGGATCGTCTCCAGCTGCGAGCATAATAATGAACTTTCTTTCGAGCCCAGTTGTAGGAACGTATTCCAAGAATTTCATCGTGCGTGCTATCAGAAAAACTTGAGAGGGGGACGGAGGGTGGAAATACGAATAAACTTCTACTTCCGACGAGACCACTACAGAGGCATGCCGCTCGGATCCCCGTCGACCCCAGTCGGAGGCAAGATCGGTGAAAAAATATGGGTGCCGGGTGCCGAGCCGATCTCGGTCAGATCTCCGATCGACGGGTGCGGCTCTCCTGTAAGACGAACGCCTCCTTGATTCCGACGCTAGTCACATCGGCGGGTTCCACCTTCCAAACCCGGGAGCATCCGCTGGAGGGGAGCGGCGTGGCGTCGGTGTCGTCCGCAGAGCCGCGGAGAACTTCCCGCAGGGGACGGCGACTTTCATGTCTTCTCCTCGAATCGGCTCAGGAGCGGTCGTCGGATTTCGATTGCGCTGCTCATCTTCCTCCGAGGACCGCACATCGCACCGATTCGCGATGCGAAGCCGGATGTCAGAGAGTCCATTGCCGGGGGGGGGGGGCGGGATTGTTTCGTCAAGAGGGGTGGAAGCCTCAGAGTTCTCATTATATCGTCGGAAAATCGAAAACACAATCACGGGAAGTACTCATCACCCTCGCTCATCGTAGAGCTCGCGGCGACGAGCGGTACCCTTGATATTTCTGCTGATATGGTCTTACGCGATACTGCTCTGCTTCCGCCGACGGACGATTTGTCTTCCCTCGTCGAAGTACTGTTTTCGGGAGCGTGGGGATACTCCACAAAGGAGTCTGCTCGATCGGCCAATTCGCTCAATCGGCCTCTCTTACTCGGTACCGACTCAGGCTGTTTCAGCGGACTCTATTGTAAATGGATGTCCGTCGCGCGCAAGGTTAGATGGACACATGCACATCGACTCTGCGAAAGCGCGCTCCTGATAATTTGCGAATATTCAGCTCGATGACGTCCCGCTTGTCAAGTGCTAGATATTCCATAATGACACGAATAATGAAAATGAGATACGGGGGCGAAATCAAAGAGGCCGAAGTTTCTACATTCGCTCTCTATTTCTCGGAGCTCATCCCGAACAACTCCTTCTCATTAACGGGTGAGCTTCTCTCTTAGAGAAACGCCCACACCTGATTCAGACTCCCACGGTCGATTGATTCAATCACTTCATGCAGGTCATTCGGGAGGGGTAAAGTTCCGGGCATTGAATGGATATCACGAAACACCCCTCGGTGAGATATCAAGGGTGAATGTGGGGCTGATCTCCTCAAGATCTCTGAATCGGATCGCTTCTGAATCAGGTCCCGATAATGATCGATCCTCCACTCTCTGTCGAATGGACAGAATGTATATGCGTCCTAGAAAAAAAATCATCGTCAATCCTCGAATTGGTAGCAATCGCTACAGAGGGAAGTTGCTCCTTCACATAGAGCTTAAGGAAGCTCCATGAAATCAGATTAGGCTGCGCGTCGGTTTCTCGGGATAACATGCTTCCGCAGACTCGCCTCCAGCGCCAGGAACCATGTCTGGAACAGTTGAAGAGTTCTCCGAGATTTCCACTGGGACACCGATAGAGTTTAATCGATACGAGTACAGGAGATATGAGTTTCGCCTCGAGGAATCACGTGACATTCTCGGACAAGTTCTGCTGCGGAAGACTTGCATGCGAAATTCCGCCACAGAAAACGAGCGCTTCTGAGAAATTATTTGCCCAAGCGGCTGGGATCGCTGATGCGTTTCCGATCTTCGCTAGCCGAATCTCAGATATGCTGACTCCGGAAAGTCGTCCATGTTGACGTGAGCCGTAGACTGGGTGCCGTACACGTCCTCTTGATAAGAAGTGTCCTCGAGAAGAAGGCAAGATCCGGGAGGCCGATCATAAACTGCGCGGCGGAATATAGGAAATATACACAAGTTCTTCTCCGCCCAACGAATGTCCTATCGGGAGATCGAGAATGAGATTTTCATGCTCCCAACAGGAATTATTACGGAGATTCGATACCCTAGCTCCATCCTGGGGTCGAAATCATCATTGCATTTCCCCTCTTCCGGATATCTGCCTGCCGACCAGAAGTCGGCTTTTGTCGGTGAAGGTCTCCGTTGTCATCGGCGCCTTCGCGAGCAGCCTTGAATCGGTCAATGCCTGGTGGCTGAAGCGAGAATCTGGAAGTTCAGGGTGAGCGAAAGCGCTCCCGCGTTCCGGTGGTGACTTCCTCTTTTCATAGTAGCTTTTATCGGAATTCCGTTTCACGTCCGTCGAATACGTGCGCGTACGATCGAGCTCGATCCGACCCCATCAACCGGTAGACTTTGATGAGTCAACGGATACCGGAACTGCTTCTCGGGAGGTACGGGTGTGAGGCTTCGCGAGTCGGGAGCAGTCGTCTCTGTTGAGAGTCCCCGAGCGCGCGCCGCTAGCTCATTCCCCTCATCGGTCAATATCGGTCTCGGTCTCGGGCCGTCCACGTCTTGGTGAATCCGTAGGATATGTTCCCGAATCCCTCCTCGTCATTGATGAGTTGACAAGCTCTGGCCAGCAAAACAATTATCGCCTTCTGTAAGCACATAGACAGAAATCAGAATTTTCGGCGTTTCCCATCGGTTCTCGCCAAGGCTCCGGTAATTTCGCTCCAGTCTCAGACGGAATTCTCTCGTTTACTCTCCTTGTTGTGCAGCCCCATAGGTCCGAAAGGGGCCGCTCGGCTCTTCGGTGTGCGTAGCCGGAGCGTCACATCTAGCTGGGTGAGCAATAACCTCATGAAGTTCTTCGCGACGCGGAGCGGGAAGCAACACTCGGAACCGACACATGAAAGCCCTCCTCAGCTGATCGTTCAGCCCTGACCGTGGTGGCGTTCTCTTGACCGTGAGCGATTTTCTGCTGGAACCGCTAATCGAACGTCACATGTCTGAAAGAAGCGCGGAAAATCAAGATCCAGACCGTCGCGCGCGATACTGACGGATCCGGAAAAAACGTCCCGGGAACGTTATTGTTTTATGCTCTCGCAACCTCGCTTCCCTTATCCCGAAAATATGACCGCTCCGGCTGTCTGCCCCACCTGACCGAGCCGAGTGAGCCTCCATTGAAACCAATCGGGGTTTCCTTTGAATCTCCAGCTGATTCTCGAATTCATCCTTCCGCTGAGGTGTCTGCTCGAAGGTGCGGAGGAGCCACGAAATCTGTCCTACTGCTTGCGGTTTTACTGAGAAGACTCCGCATGAAACTGCATCAAATCGCCGCTGCACCCTGCATGAAAATATATCGCGAAAATATATTATGTATATCGCTCTCGATCGACCCTTCAGGCTACCTTCCCGTCTCTGCCCGAAGGGGAATATTCACCGATATTCTCTTCGGGAACCGCTCCCGGGAGTGAAAATTATATCCCAGACTCCCCGTGATCCTCACGGTGAGCCCACGCGTCGCGGTGCGTGAGACCCAAGAGTCTCTCGGGTTCGCTCGTAATCAAGCTCTGGGATCGATCGAGGAGACGTCGGACTTTCTGGCGGTCGCCATGAAAACTCCAAGTACGGCGAATGGGGGTCCCCCCGGAGGCTTCGAAGAATCGACAGCGGGTCCCGAACATCAGAACAAGCAAATAATTGGATCGAGCTTCTCAGTCAGAAGACAGAATGGGTTTCGCTTCAAGTCCCTGACCGGAGACGAATCGCAAAGCGAGCAACTATCGTATAGCCTGACACGCGAGTGCTTCATTGGGATGAGCGCCGGAAGAATCGACTCGATTGTCTAATAGGAATCCATTAGCTCGCTTCTAAGCGCCGCGTCCCGACCCCTTCGACCAGAAGCTGAGAAGAACCTCGATACGTTGTGACTCGAACGCGGTGGGCGAGCCAACCCAACCACCTCCACCGAGCGCCTCGATGTTCTCCGAGGCGGACGAAGATGACGCAGGGTTCAGCCCCTCGGATCGGAGCCCCAACGAGGTTTCAGTCGTGGGCGAGGGCAATCCAAGCAAACTTGAGCGTCTTTCCGTAGGCTTCAGAACGTCGCGACCTGGGCGGTGAGTAAGAGCGGTGAAAGTGCGCCTGGTCCTTGCCAAACGGTGGAGGGTTAGCGTCTCGACCTTCCAGGCGAGGGGTTCCCGTATAAGATGATGAACCTTGGACGTTGAATTGTTGTGCATTCGTCAGTGAGGATCCACAGGTTTCAATATGGTTGTAAAGTAAGCATCCTCAAGTGTTCTTTCCTGCATGTTTCTCTGTCTGCTCTGAAATGTTCCTCAAGGGATGGACCCCCACCAGAATTTCTGCAGCGAAGCATCTGCTGGACGCGACGTCTTCAAGCTCGCCCGTGCACTTGTGGGTGGTTGATAGCGAGCGAGGCTTCTGCGGTTTGGATTTTCGCCTGGGGAAACCTCTGAACGAAGAGATCAAAACAGAGCTCGTGGTCAGAAGAGCAACCGTGACAGGAGACGCCGGATGCCCGAAATTCCGGCTGGGAGGACAGAGTTCGTGCGTCTCTGGGTGATTGCCGTGTCTGGACGTGCCCGAGTCGAGTTCGCAAGAATCACGGAGCGTTTGATTCCCTCAGCGGGGTGCTTCCCAGTGCGGCCCGAGACACTCGGATAGTCGCCAAGTTCACGAGCCTCAGCGTTCCTCCCTCTTGAGCGCGATCTTCATAGCGTCAGGCTCCCGATCGACCCAAGGGAGCGAGTTCAATTACCGGGAGTGCTCCATGGACTTATTTGGCCGGAGGGAATCGAGGCAACAAATTTTCAGAATGAAGCGGACTTATCCTGGATAAGCTCTCCATACCTACGGGGTGAATTCCGTGGGGGAGAAATATTTCCTCGAATTGCCCTAGGCTGTCCGTCTCGCGATCGCTCGACTCATTCATCTAGCTATCAGTGGCTCCCGGACGAAGATGGACAGCGGACGAGCTCCGCGAGTGACTGACTGACTGAGAGTCTAGGTCTCTTTCACGGGTGAAAAGCTTTTCCGCTGTATTTCCACGTCTCTAACCCAATACTAACCCGTGTGAGGGCCGACGACTATGAACAAAAAAGTACCCACTGAGGCACTGAGGCGTGAGCTCCCGGAGCTGACCGGCATGGAAAGTCGATAGCTTGTCTTTCTCGTGGTCATGTCACTGCTGTCTAGTCTATCGCTCATTCCACATTGGTGCTTTCGCGTCGACCGCTCAATCCCGTTTGTGGTAATGAATTCCTCGGGTTGAAAGGAAGCGCAGTGCCAAAAAGCCCAAAAAAGGTGATCGTGAGACGAGTGCGTTAACGGGATAGAATGGTGTTGAAAATTAGGTGCGCTCTCTGCTGGTGCTCGTGAGCTTATCGGTTCCGGAAGTTCGCATGTTGGCTCGATCCTGGAGTCTGCCCGCTATCATGCGAGGCATACCTCCAGATTCGGTGACATTCTGCTCGGACGGCGAATTTGATTGTCCTTTCTCCCACAGATTCGACGCCTTCACCGGTCAACTCCACAAGAAGAAGCTCGATACTTCCGCTGATTCCCGAGACGAAGAAGTCAAGTCGAAAAAGTTCTCCCAAACCGAGCAGCCGTCGGAGAACTTCGAGACCTGGAGCTGGAACAATGTTGTCTGGGCCAACGTTTGGAAGCTTGGCTTGCTACACATTTTCGCCCTCTGGGGGATCACTGTATGGGGTGAACTCAAATGGCAAACCCACATTTTCGGTAAGTGACTCTCATGAAGAGTTCCCGACTATTGGTTCTCCACCGAGGATTCGCCGGCTCCAGGAGTGGAAATGCCCTTGCACTTGCTTTCTCCGGGCCGTCGTATTCTTAAAGTAAATGTTCCGTCGGGCGCCGATCGCGTCACTGACGAGTTTCCGAGCGGAGTCAGAATACAGAGACGATTCAAGAAAATCTAGGAGGAGGTCGGAAGCGTTTCTTCCCCTGTGGGATTTCCGAAGATTTAGCTTTCCGGAATGGAGAGGTGTCGCCCGTTTTGGCAGATTATCTCGTAACGGTCGCCTTGACTCGTCAGTGTTCGGTAGCTGAGTGCTCAAGGCGAAGACGAGCGCTAATGACACTTGTTCTAATGTCACCCTTCCGTCTCCAGGATTGATCTGGCTTCAACTGTCTGGTCTGTCGGTCACAATGGGCGCCCACAGACTCTGGTGTCATCGCTCATACAAGGTATGCGTCATATATCCGATCATAAATGACTCCGAGACGACAGGTCCCGTGAACGGCCTTCGCCTGAATCGGAGAAGGAACAGAAAAGAAAAACCGCCGCTGAAGAGTCTCAGCAACGATTCCGCTTTTCGTGACGATTCAAAGACGCGGCTCGATGAAGAATCACCCCTTCCGTGTTCCTCTCGACTTTTCTTTATCTGTTTGTCCCCATGGATAACCTTGAGAGAGCGAGTTCAAGGAAATACAGAAGCCGTATGTGACCCCTTTTGGAGTGATTGATCGGAATCGAATTCAATGGGCTGTCCGTGTTTCCAGGCCAAGCTACCGCTCCGAGCTGCTCTCATGTTGACGAACTGCATCGCCGCCCAAAACGACCTCTACGAGTGGGTCAGGGACCACCGGGTGCATCACAAGTACTCAGACACCAATGCCGACCCACACAACATCAACAGGGGTCTCTTCTTCTCGCACATGGGCTGGCTCCTGGTGAAGAAGCACCCAGATGTCATCAAATTCGGGAACCGTCTCGATTGCTCCGACGTCATCGCTGATCCCGTTGTGCGCTTCCAACGGAAGTGAGTTCATTTTCAGGTCTTACGCTCGAGGTTGCCGATTGCTCATCGGAGTCAATCAGATTCGAAAGACTGATATCTGTTCCGGGTTTCATTGTGATTGTTCTTGCAGATATTACGGCTGGTTGGTGATGTTCTTCGCCTTCCTGATTCCCACCTACGTGCCACACTTGCTGTGGGGTGAGTCCTTGAAAGTTGCTTTCCTGGTCCCGACGTGCCTTCGTCTGATAGCGTCTCTTCACTTCACGTGGTCCGTCAACTCATGGGCGCACTACTTCGGAGACAAGCCCTTCGACAGGTAATGATTTGAATGCAGGTTCATCCCATCAGGCAAATGCTTTCGATGAGCGATGTACATATATTATTAGTGGAGCGGATTGATTCCCGCCTCTGAGTTGACGCTTCTACCCATTTCCAGCGAGATGAAACCCACGGAGACCACTCTCGTTTCCTTCTGGGCTGTCGGAGAAGGATTCCACAACTTCCACCACGTTTTTCCTTTCGATTACTCTTGCTCCGAACTGGGATGGTGAGTTCCGAGTTCCGTTACTTAGTGAGCAAATGATAGTTGCTACTCATCATGGGATTCACCTATCAATTATGAATAGCAAGTGATTCCCGCCAGGGAATTCCATTTCCGAGATGCTCGTTCGGTTCGTAACCTTCGAATCCTTCCACTTCTCAGGTTTATGAATACATCTACTATGTTGATCGACTTCATGGCTTTGATCGGACAAGCCTACGACAGAAAATCAGTCTCGAAAGAGACGATCTTGAAGAAAAAACTGGCTACCGGTGACGGAACTAGGCTGCCCGCTTCAATAAAGGAAATCAGGACACTCGCCCGGGAGCCCATCGAGCCAATCAGGGGCTAGGCAAAGAACTTACTTAGGGAACAGCCTTATGCTCAAGATCCTCGTCCGAGATCTTGTGAAGCATTGAGGAGAACGTATGCAAGATGTTTGAATGTGTAGATGCATGTGAAAGAGTCCTACTTTATGTTTTATTCGTTAAGTCAATCAATAAAGCGAGAGAACCATATAGACTTTCTGAACTCCTTCCTAGAGCGTCACGCAAAAGTGTCTTCTGCATCAGGGTGACGCTCGGATGTTTCAACCACGAGTGACGGAAGCCCACACCACTTCTCAGCGTCGGGCGTATTGCATAGCTCCGTTGCCCGAGGGATGAGGGAAAGTTCTCGGAATATTCATTTGCGCACAGCAGATATTCGAACAAGCGAGTGCACATGGCGGCTTCAGAGGGAGGTCAGGAAATGAATCCAGTAATCGTTTCATGAACAGGTGTACAAACTTTTTATTTAGCGAACAACGTTCCTTCTTCGAATCGTTTCATCTCCGCTGACATTTATCAATGGATGGACTAGAAACTTATTATCAATCTTTCACTTAAAGTAATATCGCTATCTTCTTGTTATTGGGGCCATTTGAAGTCATTACAGGAGATACTGGAACTCTTACACGTGTGCCTGCCGTCCAATCAAACTACATAAAGTACAATATTTTGTCTTCCTAATCCACGTGGAAGACGGGAACCATGTAGGTCTGGATCAGGTTCAAAGCCGGTACGATATCGTGTTCGACTCGTACCCGTTAATGATTCGAGTGTCTCGTCTGGTGTCCGTGTAGACTGGTTGGGGGTCGGCGCTGGGCGGTCGTAGGTAGGGATTGAATGCTTGCGGATGCCCGTTCAAGGTTTGCCATCCCTCATTCGGCTTTCGTCTCTGAAAATGGAAAGGTTTCTAGACTCGATCGAATTCTGTCGTTTTAAGCACTCCAAATACTCGAAGCGGACACCGCGAAAGCCGTTTCGAAAGAGTTCAGCGGTTGAGCATCACGGCTTCGGTGGTAGTCCGGCGCTCGTACCACTAGAACTGATTTGCTCCCAAGGACATAGAACCCTCGTGACCATGACCCTTGTCAACAGGGTTCCTCCTCACTCTGAAGCCTGTTCGTCATTCGATGAACGAAAGCTCAAGGAACCACGAGTGATCGAGGAATTTCTGAGGAACCCTAGAATACCCCCACCTATTCTGCTCAACGGGAGCGGATGATCGTGATACCCGCAGAGGTATCTTATACTAGATGATTTCGAGACCCCGTCTCCGGGATCTTCCACGACTTAGATCTCCGAAAGATAAACAAGACTGGAAAATGATTTCGCCGCTCCCAAGTCGGGAGCCAAGAATGTCGACTCAACGTCTCTTTTCGCCCAGCCCTGTTGAGGCCACACCGGGACCGTTAATCGAATAATCAGAATTCACCGATATCGGTGCTCCGAAGCGACCTCGAGTTTATTCTTCCCGGGGATGATTTTCGAGAGAACTTCTCGGATCTAAATGGCCACTCACCGCCCAGCTGTTTCCGTTGGGTATCAACGGAGAATTGTTTCTGGAATGATGTGTGTGATGGAGGTGATGATCGTCGTCTTGATCGTCGAGGAACGAGAATGCTTCCAACGCGTCTTCGACTCCCCGCATCGACCCGGCAGATGAGTCTGTTCCCGCTCGGGAAACTACAGGAGACTTGCTCGCGTATCCGCTCGACGGCGGGGTTGGCGGCTGCGGAACAGAAAAATTCGGTGAACAGAAAGAAGACGGTGAACCCTCTCCGGAGAACAGAAGACACGGTGCGGATATCCTATGCGGTCTGGCCACCCAAATGTCAGAGAATATTCGTATCATCACATGAATAGCAACTACGAGACTAGCCGTTCAAACTTACAAGTCCGCTTTGGTTGATCAGATAAGCTGATACGGGTTGATGCTTCTTCGATATAGTGTCATTGGCTTCTTCTGCCCCGTGCAGAGGACTGAAGAGAAAAAGTTGAGCGATAAGTTTCGGAATCCTCTCATCGATTCTCGAGAGCATAAGAAGATGGTTGGCTCCGGGTCAGGGAATCCGATGAACTTACTTCCAGACGACCACGAGCTCGAGTTGCAGCGACCCACTGGTCCCGAACTTCACATTCATCATCTGGGCTTGAGCTCGCATGAGTTTCACAACGTCGCAATTCCTCTCGCCGAGCTGCACCGAACGTCCGAGACCCTTCAGCTCGACAGCTTTGATGCGGAGATCGTACCACGGGTTTATCCGGAAAATGTTCTCTCTGTTTTCCCATAACTGGTTCTGAGACTTTTCTACTTTCCCCCTCGATTTCCATTTCTTGTCGCCGTGCCGCAACGTTATCAGAAATTGGTCTCCGGGACAGACTCGCGCGAAGCCTTGGATGCAGCTTATCTGAAGATGCAGACTTCCCATGCATTCGGTCTCGAGCTGCGACTCGATGAGTTTCATGGTCATCTCGCATTCCCGATAGGTATTCCGGACCCCTTTCAACGCCTTCTCTCTCGTTCGACCCAATGACGAGGTGACGAAGGCTCTGCCCATCTCTGTAGCCCCGTCCCGAAGACGTAATTGGACCATATACCGTTCCCGCATGCGGGCAACTTTCTCGTACTGGGTCTGGAGCCTCTGCAGGTACTGGGAGGCGACATAACTGATTTCCGGTGCGCGGCCTCTCGATGACATCTCAGCATTTCGGATGTCTTCGCTCGTGACCTCGATGCAGTCCCTATAGAAAATTGAAATAACTTTTCAACGTCATTGCCCCACTGTTCTGTTCTTCGAGAAGTTTGGTCCGACAGACGACCTGAGTGAATTACGAGGAAATAGGTACTCACAGGAGTCCATCGAGGATGGCTTCAAAAAGCTCTGTGGTTCGTTCCGGGTGTGGAATGAGTTTGTTGTGAGATTTTCCGATCGTTCCGCTACCTGGAAAACACAGGCAAAATTGTTTCCTGTAGTCAAGCTTCGAAGCGAGAGGGAAAAAGACGTTCTTTTTTCTGGGAATCCAATCCGCTTTGTGACTCTCTTGCCGTGACCGAGTGTTTCTCCGCTGGAACCTCCGCTGCACGACTTCTATACCGAAAACGAAGCAAGGAGATGATATCTGAAAGCTATCGGGAGCCGATCACTCTCAGGTTGAAGCAAAGCGCATGTTACTCTTGTTTCAGAATAGTCTCTTTTTATTTCTCACAACAACGCTCGTCATGGTAGATCTTCTAGAAAAATTCAAACTTGTAGCTTATCACCGCTGTGGGATTAACATGAAAGACGCGAGTAATCGGCTACGCGGCCGCTTTCAGCATTCTCGCCATAGACGAAATGAGGAAGTCTCAGGTCACAGGGGTTATTGTTGCGCACATTCCGGAGGCATCGCATCTGTTCCGTCTCCGAACCCGGGGATGTCCATCCCTGGCTGTTTACATAATAGTTCCGCCGGAAGATCTCCGAGAGCTTGCATCTTACTGAGCAACTCGAGGATGCGGCGTTGTCTGTCTGCCTTCACTTTCTTTCGAGTCCGTCGTCCTTCTCGCTGTCATACTCCTCGATAATTTGCTTCACCAGGGCGTTCTGCGATTCAACTTTCGCCAGTTCATCTTCGGAGAGTTTCTCGCGATTCTCGTCGATCCACTTCGGTAAACTATCGTGGATGTCCTTCAGACCTGGATACAGAAGGCTCTTGGTCAGCACCTCATCGAGTCCATGGGATAACATGTCTCCGAGCGGTTCTGCTCCATCGACGTTCATGTTCTTGAAGACGTCACTGAGGAAATCCTCGGGGTTGAATTCGCCGCCTTGCTCTTGGAATCGGTCGAGTGACTTCGTGAAGAGCCCCAGCGTTTCCTGCATGGCTTTGGCCAACTCGGAATCTTCGCCGGCATTCTCGGCGTTCAGCATCGGATTCCCCTTCATGAACGTACTGAGAGATTCCCGCATCTGATCGATGTTCAGTCCGAACGCGGCCGGGTTGTCGGTGAGATCTGCTGCTGATGCTGCCGCCGCGGACGACTCCGCTGCACTCGCTTGCGCGACCTTCTGCGATTCACTTTCCTTCTGAGCGTCGAATTCGTTGAGGGCTGAATCCAGCAGATTATCCAATTCGGAGTCGACTTCTGGTTTGCTCTCAGCCATCGTGGTTCACCGGTGCGACCAAGGAATTGGCCGGAATTCGGAAAGTAGAATATTTCGACACGATCACCGAAGGCTCGCACACTGCTCCGAGTTCACAGTTGAGATGATGGACGGGGTTTCGTGCGTCGAATAGTTCGCGGAAAAGTGAGTTTCCTCCTTTCGAACTGCAGAGGCAGACTATCTCCGGCTCGGTGCCCGACGACGATGGAGGAAACCTGCTGCTATGATTGTGGTGACCGAGGAAGGCGCCACTAGCGCTCTTCGGTGGATGAATGCGTTGCGGATTGCTGTGGGCGGTCGAGAATCGCCACCGACTTCGGTACAGGTATATTCTGGACGGAATCGACCTGAATATCGCTTCTCCGAGCTTTCACGACTGACGGGAATGATGCCAAATCTTGGGAACCTTATTTTTCACGTTCGGAGTGCACAGACGCTGGGCTCTAGCCCACAATCGTCACTATTCTGCTCCAGAAGATCAAATGCACGGGGACGCGGATAGCATTTGAGATGATTTCCGAAACCGCCTTAAGAGTACTTCGGCTCGAGCTTCGGAGTCGTCACCTGTCTCTTTCTTAGGGGAGGGATTTTCGGAGAGGGCAGATTTAAAGGCTACTAGCAGGTGATCTTTCCTGATGGGCGAGTCAGCCGGGGTAGGAATTCCGAGCTCTCACAGACTCCTCGGGGTTAAGATATGATTTTGCAGGGGGGTCGAAAGGCCGGACCCCAAGGAAGCTTGGACCTTCGGTGTGATCTTTTTCAACAACCCGCGATAACTTTCTTCTCTTCTGAATGGGTATTTCTCTGATGGGCTCCAATTGCTCGACGCAGTCAGAGTTCTCATGTATCTAAGCTCTACGAGGGACAGATCGGGGCGATCGGTGGATGCAAGAAGACGATCATGGCGCGGTATCCGAGACGAGGGAGAGGAAGTCTCGAGGTTCCCACAGCACCGCGTGAGTCACTCTCCGTGGGGTGCATCGAAGTCATCCAGTCTTGCTTCAGCGAATTGGAGACGGGGAAAACTTCGATCAGCAAAACGGTCCTGAACTCGGAAGGATAGCGTCTATCCATTGTGAATCAAAGTAGACCCGGTGAATAACGAAAAAGGTCTCGCGAGGCTGTACCGAGGGGCTAGCTCGGTTTTCACTGAGTGAGACTCGGACCGGATCCGACAGAGAATTATTGATTCGAATCGAACCACATTTTCCTCTTGCTAGATCAATTCGATCGGGTTTTTCAAATGTTCGAAACATGAATCCGATTCTGAAAGCGATTTCCGTAACACTGAGGAGTGCCTATCCTGGGGCAATACCTCCCACTGTTAGATTCGTTATTTTTCCCTGCCAATATCTATAAGTCATGTAACTGCTTCTTCTATCTGACAGTCCCCAAGTTAGAAAGGACTGTCTGCTTTTCCGTGAAACATACCGCACGATCGCGCCTTCAACATACGTGGAGTGAAAATCCAGAGCATTTTCCGTCGCACCCAGATGTCTCCCTAACAACGAACTACATAGCACTCGAGAATCGCGCGGCGTGAATTAATCCATCCGGCCGCCGGTCAGACGTCTACATCATTGCGTATATACTACGAATTCCCTTTTCATCTCTTTCTCTTCCGCGACCAGTCTACGGAGCCACGATCTTCTCATCGTGACCATTGGAGGTGACGTAGGACCTTTTTGAAAGGGCTCAAGAATCCGCGACGAATCTCGCGGATCCTCAATTCTCCTCGCGGGTTTCCGATTGGCAGTTCGAGTTTGCCAGAATCCGCATTGAGACTGTCAACCCAGTTGATGGGAAGAGCGCGTAATTTCTACGAAGCGTGGGATAGATTGGCCGTATTGGAAAGAATGAGCGACGCCTGCTGGAAATGCATAGACCGCTCCGTCGCGACTCGGGCACCTAGACATCCCGGAGGATGGTGAGAGCATGTCCTCCACACAACGATCTCTCACAAAGAAACAGGGAACCACTCACTCACCTTCTTCATAGTTGCTCTTCAGAGATAATGACGATGCGAATGATTTCGATCGCAACAGTGAAGACCCGCCGAGCGAAAGACCCTGGGCTCGGCCCGCGGTCCCAACTTGCACTCCATCGTAGAGTCCGCTGAGCCGGTTGGCGCTCTGACTCCGAATCGACATGCCTGAAGAAAATTAGATGGTTCGAATTAGGAGTTTGCGGTATCGGAATTCGAGATCTACGATTAGGGGGGAATTTCAGCTCGAAAGGGACCAGCGATGATCCCGAAAGTCAAGGTCAAAGGGTTCGGTAGCTCCATCGCTTCGACATTACACGTCGCCGCTCAGTCATCATCGCGATAACAGAGGCCTCCTCCCGATGTGTCGTCATCTGCCGACTGCTCTCTGGATTGGTTGCCGATTCCGAATTTTCTCTTTTACAAGCCAGGAGGAAGAATCGTTGCAGGCATCGCGAAATCATCGACGTCATGACTAATATTCCCGGCTCCGCTACCTGTAGTCAATCACAGGGACAGAGTCAGACACAGCCGCTCACTCGCGGACACATGGTCACATGCCTCACCTAGATGATGTGGAACAATTGAACCATACTAGGTGGTGGAGAACCAGCGAGACAGCTGCGCAACCAGTCGATTCCATAGCCGTCGGCCAGCCACCGTTTTCGTGCTTAGCTCACTGTTCCCGAAAGCCGAGTGACGCGCGTCTCTGACCTTTCGATTTTGTCGAACGAGGCGGCATTCCATCATAACCGATGAGGCTAATACGAGTCACGGGAGCGGAATCCGCAGGGAACTTCACAGAGTTTCAGCACCCGACTAAAAGACCCTTTACCCTCAACTCTAGAATCGGGCAGCGCGGGTTCCCATAGAAAGCTTCGGGACGGAATGAAAATCATCAATCACAAGCCTCGGTCCCGTGAAAGGATCCAATCGCTCCGTGACTTCCTCATTAAATTGCTGCGCGATCAATGAACACCTTCAATAACGACTCGGTTGTAAGGACGATGCTCAGGGAAATTATGTTCATATTTCTAAATCACCGCACTGACAACAAGCGCCCTTAGGGGTCTAATGTTGCGGACCCGAGGTGTAACTGGTCGGATGTAATGATAGATACAAGCAGACACTTCCAGGAGTTTATTGCCGACGACGATTGTCTTTCCGGACACAAGGCCGGCGGCAGGATCCATGACGAAGTGCAAACAGTCGTCGGATCCGAAGAGCTGTAAATCGACTCGGTAGGAATCACTTATCAGGGAACACAAATACCAGAGAGGTCGACCTATTGTTGGGTATTCAGGACCGGCCGGTCGGTCGCTTCAGAGGCTCGCTCGAGACGGTCGAGGAATGCGGACGAGCTCCAAACAGTGACCGACGCTTGACCCTACCTCCGCACCGGAGCTCGAGCTTCGGCTTATGTTGCATTCGAAGAGAATTCCGATCCGCTTGCGACAGAAACGGCCCTATGACCAGATCAATTTGTTCAGCAAAGATGACGACTTGAGAAGTCATCATATACATTAAACACTAAATATTCCCCGAAAACTCAACCATCCAATACGACCTTGAAGGAGTGAAGGATCAGGGAATCTGATTCGCTCACGACAGGGTAGACGAAGGAAGAAAGATTAGCGAAGCCGCCGATTTCGATCCATCCGCTAAGATGAATGAGAAGATCCGCTTGAGGGAACGGTATGAAAACTGAGAGCTCGATTGAACAGGGATTCGGAATGGTGGAGATCGAAGACGGTCAGCTCGATCCCAGAAACTTGACCCCGAGGACTGTGTCGAGACGGGGACGCGAGTGGAAAGATTGCTATTCTTTACAACTCCGGAGCGATGGAGAAACGTCGATGGAAATAATCGAATCAGCTCATTGGGAGAATATAACCGTAATTCGACGAGATATAGGTACTTCAAAAAACCTGAACAGCAGGCTATATTAGCATGTTCCGATCTGATGGCGAGCGCATGTCGCTGTGAATTCGTATTCTGGATTCTATCGCAATAAAGGCGGCTCGAGCGCGGTTCCTTCCGTGAAAAATATCACGTCCGATCGGCATTGAACATCGTGGGAGATCCAGACTGTTCGGCTGTCTTCCTCCGACGCGCAAACAACGCCAAATTGAAAGCATCATCGCTCATTGACTGCAAGGTCTCCGATCATTTGAGAAGTGTCCTGCTCCGTGTTATCTTCTTCAAAGTATGTCTGCCTCTCAACCGGAATTCGGCTAGGGAACCCATAAGAGACTACAAAGTGACCTGGGAGAAAAATTCAACCGCTTCGAGATTTCGATAATTATCGACGGTATCCCTCAAGCAGTGTTTAACGACGAGAAGCTCGCATCCGGAGAGCCATTCGATTCTGTGAGCTGACAAAGCGCGTGACAATGATGAAACGACCACGTAATGCCAATAATACTCTCAGCCGTCAGCAAAGCTAACAAATTTACCACTGATTGGGCTGTTCCAACAGAGGTGGAGCTCGAGTCGCGCTCTATTATGGACAGTCAGCAGAACCGCCACCGCAAGATCGATTCCTCGCGAATTATTATCGAAGACCTCTGAAGCCGTACCGACGGACGGAGCGGAGTTCTCCTCGCGCGGTTGATATCGATTGAATACACACAGGGGGAATTTTCGGGAAAAATTATCGATGGAACTACCTGAAGAGTCATCCTTTCCCTTCTCTTTGACAGGATTCAATTCCTTGTCGAATTCGAAGACGGTCAGTTTCATAGCGAACGATCCGAGCACGATCACAACAATCTCACTGGTGTCGGCGACGGCGAGAACAAAAAGTGGTCGACAGTCAACCGTCTGAGGAGAGTAGCCTCTCTCTGTATTCTCCGAGAGTAACACTTTCACTTTGCCTCTCTTCTCGTGCTCTGACAGTCACCGTTCCAGCCAGACGCCGGCGTCGTCTGGGGAAATCGGACCATGGGAAGACGGAGCTGGATGGAGACACCGGCTGATAAGTCGCCGAGGTGAGATAAGATTCCGAGGACCGGTTTCAAGGTTCCTGTCGCCGCTCCAGTTTTCGACTTCTGACCCGGCGAGAATCTTGACAAGAAATCCGGCCGCCACCGCAAGCACACACTCTCGGTCGATGGGTCGATCGCTCACATCCACGCGGCGGGGATAAGTCCTCGCACAAGAAGAAGACGACGGCGGCGCTTGGTATTCAGATCAAACTCTGTGCATTGGATACGCCGCAGTACGGCGACGATGTCGACGTAGCCGAAGCTAGGCGAGGGCCGTTGTGGGCGGCCGAAAGAGTCGTGATGGAACGCCCGTTAGTCGGAATCGCATCATGACACTATTGAAGGCCGACAAGAGGCAAACGAAACGCGGGAGTTCTAGGCCCGAGTCACGGACTCCGAGAAACACCGCACAAGGTCACCCGCGATCCCGGTCATCCGTGATATGTAGAATCGGTATTCCGTTGATGAATTCTCCACCGTAACAGACGATAGACCCAGGAGCTCAGGCACGAAACACGCAAGGTGAACGCGAGAAAATTCACGAAAAAAACATAAATGGATTCATCGTCCCTCAGCCCCTAATGAGGTATGGAGAAGATCGATTGCTTTTTCGGAACGAGGCGCTTCGTTTTGTCCGCGATAATTTTCGACCAACATCTCTCGAAGATCCCGGAGCAAGGACGGATCCCTCCAGTCTCATCCTCAGCGAAAATTTCAGCTTCGCACTCGGTTCGTATGACTCACATGTCGATCGGAGTACGGCGTTCCTGATGAATCGTGCCCGCTGGACTCCTTAGGTCCATCGAACTTGTTCCGAGAATTTCAGATCTCGCGAACCTTCACCGTAGCCCCTACACCGTAGTCTCCGAACGGAGCTGCCATAGGCATCCGCTCCCCCAAAAATCAGCCCCGCAGACGCGCGGTTCCAGCCCAAGGCCAGGAGCATCATCGCGTCTTCGCGGCAAGAGGACATAACTCCATTAGACGGCGGTCGAGTCGTATCAGCCAAGATCTCTCTGAGTCATTAGAAAGCGCACAATCTTCTCATTCACCCCATCCATCCATTCATTCATTCGACTTCAGTATATTCTGGCTTATTGAATCATTCTCTACAACACCTTCTTCATATCCGTCTAATTAGTGGCACGGTTCCGCAACACGCCCCGACCTTGTCTGCGGGAAGTTTCCGGCGGCGCGTCGAGTAACTCTTTGTTCATGAAAAAAGTGGATCATCACCGCTATCTGTATTTCAGCTGCGCGACGGCATTCCAAGACGCAAAGAAAACAAATCTAAGGAACGTCTTCTTCTGACGTGGCCCGGTATGGACGCTCAGCGAGCGACAGAGAACGCCTTCGCACAATTATTATATCCACTTCTGCAGCGGAGCCCTGCATGGATGTCTCAGAATCAGATCTGAAACTATTCTGGAAATCCGGGATGGAGAATTGGGAGTCATTAAAACCTTCGTCGAGGAATCCACCGTCCTTACACGAGTCGCCTGAGTTATAGCTTCGGCACTCAATCAGAGCTTCGCCAGTCGTCAGCAGTTTCCACGTCTCGCCGCGGGTGTATTCCGTAGGCATTCCGGAGGAGCGTACATCAGGACACAGAAATTCCGCGAATAAGTGAAGGCGAGCAAGACTTCGATTCAATCTGCCTATATCAAGAATTCAATGATAACGAAAGCAAAGAGCGTCAACAATGTAGAGAATCTGAACGTCGCGGCTGGCAGCAAACACGCTTCGTTCACGGTGATTTACACCACTCCGACTAGAAACTCTCTGCGGTTGCTTTTTATGCCGTGAACTTCTCTGAGGTCCAAATTGGAGGCGTCTCCTAGCGCCAGCGAAGTCTTCATTCGGAAACGGACAGTCGCTACGGACGACAATTCTTGATGATAGTACGTGAATACAAGAATCTAAGTCGGGGGCGTAAGAAGGGGGAGGGGGGCTCTAAGGCGGTCCAAATATCGCCAGCTTCACACGATTGGTCCCCTGGATATATCACAGGCGCTCCATTTTCTCGGAGATGCCGTGAGCGAAAATCGATGGTCGAGAAGTCGCAAGTCTCAACGCGAGATTCGCGCGAGAGCGATCCCGGATGTCTCGAAGATTCGATGCAAATTGAGAGCGATCACAGATTTTTTTCAAACCCTCGCGTCATCACATGATGGATTTCCGCTCAAAGCGACACCGGCCATAAAATTCCTACGAGTATAATAGAATACGTGAGTTGAACACAGAGAGACTTTCGCGATCCATTCACTCTAACAGGGTCCTCTTGACATGATTTTACAACTCGGCTTTAGATAAGGTCAAGGGGAGAACTACGACATACTTTTCTGACAGTGGGACCTAATAGGTCATGAGAGGGGTCTTGTCAGAGAGACAGTGGGGAAGGAATAATTTCTTGTCCTTAAATCAGTCACTTGCTGCGATGTTTCCTCCGATGAGTACGCTGAGCGAGGCAGGGTGACGACATGATTAATAGTAGTAGGGATATGCTCGCGCTGCGTAATCTGCGGAACTCGCTAATTATCTTTAGCCCCGAAAACGATTCAAGAGAACAGAGTTCAACCCTGCGTCGTGAAATCCGAGGATTCCGAATATAGCCACCGAAAGAGCCTTCGCGTCATCGGGACTCCGTGTCGAAAACTCGGCGGTATATCGTATATTTCACTTTTCAAAACAGCCGAATCATCTCTTCTCGCGTCGTCGCCTACATGTAAGTCGTCGAATTCCACCGATTCTCACTCTGACGCTAGCTTCCGCCTAACTGCGTTTTTTTTTCCGATCGAAGCACGGCTCTGATGAACGGCTACTGGAAAGTGACGCCTGGGACAAAATTCATTCTTCAGCAAAATAACAGAATATACCACAGCCCACTCGGCTGGCACACGTGGGTCGCGCGGGAGACTCCCATGGGTCTACGTCCTTAGACAAAATGAGTACTTTCTTGCTCCCGAACGTGCGCGTGCGTTTCCCGATTTTGAACATGAACGACTCGCAAGTTCCCACCAAGAATCAGGGCAAGCGGAAGTGTTGTATCATCTCTCATTATTCCCGGGAGGCAATCTTGATCATCCTTCGGCCGACGATCCGAAGGTCATCAGGCTGAGTCACCCACTTTACGTCTGGTCTCTCCGGTATAGCGAGTGCCAGATTACAAAACTCGATATCGGGTTCGGACGCTCGGAGCGACCGATCGCATCGACAGAATAAAAACAAGCTAAACTCCACATACGAGCTGTTGCAGCCCCTGGGTCCTTCGTAGGTTCGCGCCAATGGAGCTAACGGACTAATCACCTAATGAGTTGAGTAGCCGAGCATTGTTGACAAACTTTACGCTGGGGAGTGATTCCGGTGCGCGAGGCTCGGAGCGAACTACCAAGTATTCAAGGAAACTGCTCACGTTTTCGTAGCGCGTCTAGGCACAGGTTCATCGCACCGATATCGCACGGATCTCGGATGGGTAGTCACGTACACAAGGGAAATTCGATAGGTTTTCTTTTCGCCTCAGGCTTCTGTTCGGCAGACGAAGCTGCTGCGATATGTAGGCGACCGAAGAAAAGAAACAACCATTCAAAATCAGCCTAGCGTGCTTCTGGGTGTGTCTTGATCCCCTTCTGAGCTGAGAAGTTCTGCGCCAAGTCTCCAACGGCACCACCGGCAGAAGCTAAGACCACGCATCAATCCCGCGCACTTCTCAATTCCTTCCAACCAACGACTTGACTATTCTCCTTAGGGGAATTGTCAACGGTTAAGACCGCGCACGCATTTACGATACACTCTCTCTCGCGAATATTTCCCCGCGTCGGGGCGCGAGAGTAGAATATGGTCGTCGTAGGAAGTCGATCTACGGCCGAACGATCGGAAAGGATATTAGGCATGAATGCGTCTACGATCTCCCGAGAGTTCTCACGCTAAGAATTCTCGAATATTTCGCAGTGAATTTCGCCGAAGCAACTATGGATTGTTTGAGGTCGCTCCTACGCGAGAAATGCGAGAATGGCCCATTCGGAATGCAGACCGTTGGGTGGAGCTTCTATCCGCTGCAATTTGCGCCAGTGTTCCTCCGATAAGACCCCGCGGTTCCGCACAGGAACCGAGATCATCCGGCTAGCTCTATGCTGTCAGGTAAAGTAAGACAGAGGAATCGGGCGACGTAATTCGAAATGCTGGAGCATCGCTCAAGTCCGGCCCCAACCTACGTTGCACCTGTCTCCCGACGGACGCATCGAAGCCCTCATGGACGGAGTGTCTGACGATGTTCGGAGTTCTGTCCACATCTTCTGTGCGAGAGTGGGCTGTTCCGAAAACCGAGCCGGTCAGTCCGGCCCTGGGATTCAATGAAGAGCACTCGGCTCATGGAACAGCATGAGATGAATAATTCCCCCCGACGTATTAGCGGCAATTTATACGCAAGTGTGAGCTTGCGTGCCTGGCTTCATTCGGGGTCTCTGTCCGCTCCGTATTGAGAAACGATCTCGAATTGATAGAATCCCAGAGGAGAAAAATATTTGGAATTGAGACAAGATTTTCGACAAAATGTAGCGGACAGCGGTATGAATGGCTAGTGGCCCGCGGAAGATCGTCGCGGTGTTCCCTCTTTTGGAATTCTAGGTACAATTATTATGACTCAGTCAATCGAAGACGTCGAGCAATGATGGCTATTGCTTGGTAGTGCTGGACAACTTCCCTCAAGAGAGGGATCCAGTGGAAACGACTCTCGAAAGAAGCCTCCCTTAGTCCCTTCGTCATCGGGAATAATCTAGAGCCATCAGAAGTTTCCCTCGAATCAAAAGCAGGTTTGTTTCCCACGTGAGTATCGAGTTTTCCTGCCCAAAAGCTGGGTCGATCGAATGGACTCCCATAAGCATACTTGGGATCGTCTCCGGCCTAGCAGCCTTGCCGACACCGGGGATAGTCCTACCCGCGCTCTGGATCCGAGGGAAGATCAGAAAGAATCGGCAGACATTTCGTACGCTGATCGCGAACGTCGAAAGTCGGTCTGGCTGGCTTACGGTGGGAGGCCCGGGCGCGTCTACCACCGCGCTTCGAGACGAGTTTTTCCCCGCCGCTCTCCCTCCGTCGGCGAATCTGTTGCTCTTTCGACCTCGATGCAAGGTTTTCCCCGCAGTTCCCTGCCGATCGATTCCGACGATCAACGAAAGAGCATACATATCGTTTCACCTGGCCAAGAGCTCACCTTGGAAGGTTGTGATGGTCGACGACGAGTGAGCTCAAGAGAGTGGACACAGCTGGCGCGTTCCGCTCTGCTAGTCACTCTCCTAACGCAGTTGCGCTGTGGATGTTCCGATGATTCCTGTCGAATCCTCGCGAGCATCAGCATAAATAAATCCCAGAAGAAGTAAAGAGCAACGTATCCACACACATCGACTCCTCGAGGATGAGACGACGATCCGATGAACGAGGAAAACTCACAAAAGCTTCCGAAGCGAGTAAATCCAACCTATCGACTTTGCCGGATCCACCCGACCGCTGCCGAAACTAATGGGATGTGGAGCTGTGCGCACATTAAACAGCTGATTCTGCCGTCAGGTAGATTTCACGTCAAGGCAGGTTGGCGCCTGTGGGAGAGGATGTGAGACGTCACGTGGCTCACACAGGTCCTGACAATCTACTGAAGCAAGGCCCTTCTCCCGCTCACCCTGACGCCTGTTTTCCAGACGAAGTGTTCAATGAAAGCGTCACAACTCGGAATTTGTCGAACGAGAAGCGATTGCCGCCACAAACGTCACTCGGTAGATCGCGCTTCGAAAGAGAAGAACTCAAACTTCTCCGAACGCCCGAACAGTATATTCGGAGGACGTTGAACCACGAGGGACACGGGCTCGCCTGGGCTCCGAGTAATCATGGATTCGGCGGAATAAATCCCCGCTTACATTAGAGGAAAGCGGATCTCTGTCGAGAGATTGTATCGAAGAGAAAATTGAGCGTCCGCAGTCGAACTCCTCCTCGACGAAAATAATGGGAGCGATCCGCGAGGTCGAGAGGGTTTCCTCGCGACAATAGCGATAATCATCACGCTGCGGAATCCACCCACAAGGAAAACTGCGGATCGTCGGATTGTCGGATTTCTGTACGAGTACTCTGCTGTCGCGAGCTTCTCCGCTGATGTAAGCGCGAGGTTACTTCGGCTCGTTCGCCGGCGCCGCATCAAAGCGAAAGCGAACGAACGCGAAACACTATGACCGACCGAGCCACCTTCATCACGTATCCGAACACGAACGTGTACACACAATTTATTACCTAGTTTCGGACCTTTGGGACGAGAACGATCTCGATGCTGCCGATCGCTGGATTCGGAAGGAGAAGCACTCGTAGCGTCAGAACAACACGCGAAACCCCAAGGATAGCGTAGACACGACTCCCTTCTAGTGTTGTGTCAGCCAAAGGGAGAGCCTTCACGTAAACTTCACGAGATAGAACCTACCTCTGCGGCGGGAAGAGACGTCTAAAATCGATTAGCTACTTGAACAACAGTCCAGAAGATGCTTGCGCGATCTTGCCTGCAGCCGCTGTGACCACGCATGCCGTCGCAACAAAAGAGAAGGAAAAAAACTCAGCGGACCGGAGGGAAGTGGTTCGTACTCTCCACCTCCTCAGGAGCTGCTCCTTCCACGACCGGAGAAAAATTTGAAGAAAATGATTACAGCCCACATGCCGGCTCCAATCTTTGAAACCACCGCAAAATTTGAGATGTCTAGGTAAGAAATAAAACTTCGAAATATCGCTGTCGACACAAACAGACGACAATTCTTCTCTTCTGGATGACGATGAGGAAGGGAGATCGGACCCAGAAGAGAAGAGACGGAATCGATCCTCTCGGGAGATTTTATCAAATGTTACGCCCTCCATTCCGCTCTTTCCGGAGACGAAGAGAGAGGTTACTCCATACCTTCCACGTCTATTCATTTTGCTCTTCGGAACCTTTCTCTATGTAGAGTTCCGAAAATCAAGATATTCCTCGGTGGGATCCTTCCTGTTATTATGCTATGCCAGATCAGCCTTTGGATGCTGCGGCAACTTGGACTCCTCTCGTCGTGGAGAACTATTCAGCGGATAGATTCAAAAAGTTCCGTCAGAGGTGAAGGACGCCTGAGGACGAGAGTTGCATTCCAGACTCCAGACCCATTCAACGGCGGAGGTTAGAAACTGGTCTTGGAACCGATCGTAGATCATCATTCATGTACTCGGGACTGAGGTTTTTGTCGCACGAGGAAAAACCTAGTTCTTTTTCGGCAACGAGGGGAATGATGCTCGCACCAGATCGATGCTCAATTATTATTGTCAGAAGGTCGAGCGCTCGTTCGCTCGCTGTCAACGTCGTCAGCTGATTCAGTGGCTGGCCCCGCCACCGCCTTTGTTGTCGTCACGGTCCATATACGCTGGCATATCGTGTCCTCTCTCGGCACACATGTTCGGGATGTATTCCTGCAACACTCACGTCGTACTGAGCGAGCGAAATCTCGACAAACAGCGAATGCCAGAAAGTCGTTCCGATCGTTCGATACCTGGCCGCCCGAAATCCCCGCCCACGGAGGAGAATCGCGGCTTCCGACCCGAGGAAAATTCGGAAGCGTCGAATCGAGTATCGAGATGAGACACCTGACTGATCATCGATTATTTATTCCTCCGATCGAGCCCCCACAATGAGGCTGACAATTATTGCGGAAGCATAATAATCTTTCCTATGAGGCCGCCCGTGAGATGTCTTCTCCATGTCGGACGGCATGTGCATTTTTCGCCGCTCCTTCTTTCCCAGCTCTTTCCACAGTAGCAATTCTCTTCCAAGAGCGGAAAGAGCAGACAGCATCCGTGCTTGAAGAGAGCAGTAGACTCCCGACGGCGGCGTCCGATTTGACGTCGAACATAACCAGTTGTTGTTTATTCGACCAATATATCGTCGACGATTCGAAACGCCATGGCTAAGACCGTATTCGTCACCGGAGGCGCCGGCTTCATCGGCAGCCACACCGTGATTGAGCTCCTCAACGTAAGTCGTAACCGTGGCAGGTCGAGGACTCTTGTCACCGTCGCCAACAACTTCGCAGTCGTGTCTAACGATAACTCTCAGGGCGGAGTTCGAAAGACGGAAGGGTGCCGCTAGCCGCAGAAATTCTCTCACTCCGAGGGGGGGAACCTTTCGGACCTCTCACATGGCACCCAGATGCATTAGGAGAGCTCCGGATGAACCTGGCGTGGTTTTCCGGAAGCACCCATTCAGAGCTTGGGTTTCATTGGTGCCACATCGTACGGCCTCGAGACATTCATCAGAAAAAAACAGATGTTCTCCGAGCGTCGTCAAAGACGAGACTTGCGATCATCCGAGCATAAGGATCTTGATCCATCGCGTGGACAGATCTTGCAAGCTCCCGGTCTCCTCGCGGACGGAGAAACATTATTCATTCGCAGCTCATTCTCTTCCCGCCGGAATGTAAATAAGGAATGAGAACAGAATTATTATTTTGCCGCTCCGCATCCGCCGTCAAGAGCATCAATCTGGCGGAAAGTTCAATGTCCACTCGGCCCGCTTGGCACCGTCGTCGGCAATCTGAGCCGATGCTCCAGTAAGACTTCCGCCGAGCGGGCGACGTCATGGGACGATGAGACGGAAGGTCAAACGCTTGATTCACCGCCCACAAAAAAGCGGCCCAGAAAAATCTGTTTCTCCGCGCTCAATCGCAAGCTTGCGTCGCACGCAAGGAATTCGAGAGCTCCCAGCACATATCTAAAATATCGCAGTCACAAAGCCCCAAATTGAGTGTAGCCTCGGATCTTTAACAGGCCGACTACGATGTGGTCGTCGTGGACAACTTTGCTAACTGTGTCGAGTCGAAGGGACGGATGGCCGAATCTCTGATCCGCGCGCAGCAGATCGCTGGAAAGGAGATCCATTTCTACGCATGCGATCTGCTCGATAAAAACGCACTCAGCGAAGTCTTCAAGAAGGTGAGCGACCCGATCAAGTTCATTCAAGCACCCAAGGTTGACTTCCCTTGATCACCTCGGTATCGGAGAAATACTCTCTTCGTCGAATGTTGAATGACTTTGAATAACTATCTCCTTTCAGCATAAAATCGATTTTGTAATCCACTTTGCCGCCATGAAAGCTGTGGGCGAATCGATGCAGAAACCCCTGTTCTACTACAAGAACAACATCGTCTCTACGATCAATGTTTTGGAGGTGAGTTCGCGTTTAACCCCGTTCGATGCCCCCGCTCCCACCTCCAACCGAAACCACGGTCTCTCGTTCCGACTACGGTGAGGTCGACCGTCAGGAGGGTGATCGCCGGCCAACCTATCCCAAAACAAACATATTCAGGGCTTAGCTCTGATCCGACCCGAGAGTCTACGATCGCCTGGCTACCCGAAGCTATCCGAATGCATTCGTCTCGAGATATGGCTCTCTTCTCCATACGGGATATTGTTTTTCCTCCTGTCCTTCAACTCCTCGACACTCGGTACGGAAGGTGCGCTGTCCGCTCTGTCCAGGGACCACTTGTTGAGTCAACAGAACCATTCAAATCGAACCCGCCATCGACCGTTGCGGCAAGGTTGGCGACCAGATCTGGTCGCAGAGAAACCGCGGAGCGAAAAAAATCTTCCCTAAAAAATAAATCGGTGCCCCGGGGCAAACTACCTAATGCGAACGATAAACAGGCGAGATCAGTCGAATAATACAATCCGCCGCTAATCCACCGCTTGAGACTACATCCCATTTGATTTTGAGCGAATCGAAGCCTTTGGCCAGACCGGCATGCGCGTGGTCCAAGCGGCGACAGGTGTTAAACTTAAACTACCATCATCTGCGGCTCCGGCAGGCTCGGAGAAAAGCGTGAAGAACGTCTTCCACAGGTGATCACTTACTCGATTTACATCGCTGTCTCCGCTCCATCTCTTCCTGGTTCGAGCACTGCAGGACAGCCGGTCCCACCTGATTCGAGAGATTCACCTCTTCGGAGTCGATGGACTCCACCTGCGACTCTTTTTCCGCTAGAAGTTGAACACCAGCAGGACACACCACCAGCACGAACCAAGCGAGCGGCACATACGGTGTCTAGAAGCTCTCTCTGTCGTCGCCGCGCCTAATCTTCTTCTCTCCGCCGGAGACCCCTGGCGGTAGAAAGGGAAACCTAGGTAGCCGTGAGAGCATTTTCGAAAAAGCGCGCCAAGACACTCGACCTAGGAGAGCTGTCACCTTAGAGAAGAACTACCTAGTTTGAAGAATGACCACGTAAAGCGAAAATGAGTTCGAGTGGAGCCAGATTCGGGATCGGGGGAGATGTACCTCGAGACACTCGATGCCACATCTCATTGTATCTCCAGATGCTCGAAGAAGTATTTTCTTCCTCTGCCAGGTCATGAAGGAGAACGGAGTCTACAACATCGTGTTCAGTAGCTCGTGCGTTGTTTACGGGGACCCACAATACCTGCCGATTGACGAGAAGCATCCAGTCGGAAATGTGGCGAACGTCTACGGCAGAACCAAATACGCCATCGAGAAAATGCTCGAAGATATTTCCCGAGCCGAAAAGGTTTGTCCAAAACGATCTTTTGGCGCGGGGTCCGTGTCTCGTCTCTGGATGAATCGGTGCCCGTCTGGAGCTGAGTCTTCTTTCCGGGATAGTTTCTACAAAACCCCTTCCTTGATCGCAGCAATGGAATATCATCTGCCTGCGGTACTTCAACCCTCTCGGAGCTCACTCGTCGGGACGGATCGGCGAGGATCCAGTCAGAGCGTTCACGAATCTAATGCCGATCATCGGCGAAGTGGCCATGGGTAAACGTGAGCAGCTCGACATCTACGGCGGCGACTACAACACCGACGATGGGACTGGTTGGTAGCGCAGTTATTGGAGTTCGCTTGCTGGGATAGATGTTCCCGAGTCCAGCTCAATTGGTTGACCTCTCCCCCTCCAAAGGTATACGCGACTTCATTCACGTTATGGATCTCGCTTCCGGTCACGTTGCGGCTCTGAAGTCCCTCGACAAGGCAGTTCGCTTCAAATGCTACAACTTGGGCACCGGTCGAGGAACGTCGATTCTGCAGCTAATCAAGGCCTTTGAAGAAGTCACCAAGAGACCGATACCCTACAAAATTCACGAGCGTCGTCTGGGCGACATCCCGGCAATTTGGGGAGATTGCAGTCTAGCTCTGAAGGAACTCAACTGGACGGCGAAACACACTCTCAATGACATGTGCTTAGATTTTTGGAGATGGCTCTCGGCGAATCCGGAGGGTTATCCCAAAACTTCGAGGATAATTTCTGCTTGAAGGCTAGGGCCGATGTAGGAATAGACGAGCCGATCCAGACGGTGGTAAAGATGTGCTTTCAACATAGGTATATCGAGATGGTAAGGATAATCACGAGCTGCTCACCGATTCCAAGAATCTCTCCCTCTTTTCCCCAAATCGTGGTGAGTGAACGAATGTTCTACTCGGGGACGGGACTGCAACCGAATTCCTGTCATTCAAGGTGTTCAGAGAGCTAACCTTCCCTCAAGGTCGTCAAGCCATTGACGCTATTTTAGATCATCATGAAGGTACTACCATGAAATGACACCTCACTGAAGATCCTCACTCAATAAAAGAAAATTCCGGAGCAGTTTCGGTGCTCACGGCTTGAAACGCCTCGTCCTCGCTGCGCTATTCCCAGCCCACCGTTGGAGGAATCGACGACCGGTATAGCAGAAATTCTAGCTGTCATTCCGCTGAGACGTCGAAGCACAACGAGACCCGGATGATCCAAAATCTGCGTTTATTTTCATAATGAATCGTGCACCCTTATTTATTCGATTCTGATCTGCTGTCTTCGAGGACAGCCTATTTACACAGAAAGACACGAGATCCTCATGGCTCATAGTTGGGGTTCTTTCTAAGTATGACGAAGCCTTCCAATACCGGAGTCAGAGCCAAGTACTCATCTGTGGCCAACTCCGCGCGTTCTCCGAACGACAGCAGCACCGGAGTGGTGTGGGTTTGGAAGCCGGTGATGGTTTTGGGGCGTCCAGCTTGGCCCACCTGGAAAATTTACGGAAACCTGGTTGAGCATCTCACGAACGATAATTAATAGGATGACGGCGCTGCTCACCGACAATTATCGTTATCATTATCAGAAATAGTTATCTGAATAGTTATCTAAAAAATGCCATCAGGGTCTTCAATCGAAGGGCTCTTACCACATCGACGGCCTGTCCGACTCGAACCGGGACGGGAAGAGGCTGGAGATCCTCGTCGAACGTAACTAGCATTCTCGGTTGGATCGCCGGCACTAAGCAGTACAGAAGATATGGACTCTTGCTCAAAATGGTGTTCCTAACGTCTAAGAAGCTGACGAGTGTAGCAAACAATCCAGCGACGGCAGTTGGATTGAGCAACTGCCGGTCCGAATGATACGGACTGAGGGTCAATGTTCCTTTGCCCATGTGGGCTAGACCTTGCGCTAGGCGAACCATGAATAGGTTATTCGAATCCTTAGCATGGTACTGCGCCAGTTGACGGAGCATGGCCGCCAAACGAGCGTTGTTCGTCCCCGCGCCGACAATACCTTCAAGGGAACGACAGGGAGTTTAGTTTGCCGTATTCGCAGGAAGACTGGTCGTCGCGACCTGACAGGACGAATGTCGTGGAATCGTCTCACGCAATCCCCTGAGAATTGTAGTCGGGCAGCAGCCAATCGAACTTACCCATGCTAAAGATAGCAGCGTGTGCGACCTCCGGGTCGGAGTCGTGAGAGAACTTGGACAAAGTTTCGAGAATATTCAGCTTCGGATTCGAGACCGATAGGAGACTGAGGGCCAAAGGCACAGCGCGTTTGATGCAGGGCTCCCCGTAACGCAGGAGGTGCCCGAACGTGCGGAACGCCATATCGGCTCCGATATCCTCGCCCATAGCGATCAGCGCGAGACCCAGAACGGCGATACTCTGCTGAGAGCTCAAATTGATTTTTTCGTCCTTCTTCTCTTCAGCGGTCGAGGTCGATGCGGTCGACGTCGACGCGGCAGCCGCCGCCGCAGCGGCAGCGGCAGCAGCAGCCGCGGCGGCCTTCTTTTCTTTCTTGCTGTCCTTCGTCGGTTCTTCTTCCGGCTCGAAATGCTCCGAACAGATATGCAGAAGCTTCTGCACTTTGAGAACGTTGCCCGTTCCAGCATAAGCACAGCATTCGACCATGGTCACGGCCATCGACCTGAAGGGCTCTGGCGCTACCTCTAAAGCGGCGACTATGGCTTCGCAACTCTCCTGTTTGCCCAGGTACAGGAGCCCTAGACAGAGCGGCAGGAACCGTGAGAAGGCGTCCTTGAGGTTCTCCGGAGTCTTCTCCAAGAGAGCCGTCATCACGGTCGAGGTGATATCGGCGTTCTGCGATGCGACGCCGATTAGTCCGAGCGACAACGCCGCTATTCCGAGAACTTCGGGAGTGGTTTGCGGATCCGAGAACACGGGAAGAATCAGAGTAATGACGTTCGGGTTATTCGAGCCCGCGTAGGCGAGACCCAGCCCGAGAATGGAGCCGACTCTCAGGAGCATGCTGTTGTTGAGAACGTAGTCCGAGAGAAGAGCCATAGCCGGGTCGCAGTCGTTACGAACCCCGCAGTTGACAATACCGCAAGCGAGGATCGCACCGGCTTTGACGTAATCATCGTTCGAATAGATGTACTTGTCAATCTGGGACAGACCGTGGTCGACGGACCAGAGCTGGATGAGACCGAGTGACGCTGTTGCGGCCATCATCCCCTGGTCTCGGTTCTTGTGGATCCATTTGTTGCCATCGTCGCTGAAGATCTTGTCGTTCAGGAAAGCGGCGTTCACGAATCCGTTCACGAAACTGGATGCGAGGTTTTGTTTAGCCGAATCGACGTTGGTATACGACGATCTGGTGTTGTCCAGGTGAGATTTGTAGATGTCTTCGGGGCTTTTCGCTTCCACGATGTCGAGCTCACGAGCGAGACTCAGGAAGTGGTCACTGATCGAGGAGTTCGATGCGATTTCGTTCAGAACTTCGTAGTTGGCGATGGCGTCGATTTCGGGCAGTACCATCTGCTGCCTACCCATCATGAAAGCCATTTGCTTCTGAATGGTCCTGAAAGTAATCGGGAGGGCTCGTGAGCGTCTGTTCTCAAAATTTTCTGCTCGCAGACTCTATGTACGCTCAGAAGTTCGAGAAACTCATCCTCCTGAATTATCGTCCTAAATCGTGTGCTCACAAGTCTTTGCATTTGTTGAAAATCTCCGCGACTCGGTCCACGTCGTTGAGCTGCATCGCGAGACGGAGCGCATCCGGGTAGTTGCCGAACTTGATGAAAATCGACAAAGCGCTCGTGATCAGAACCAGATTCTCCGGGTCCGGCACGTATGGCACGCATGACGTCAGATAACGACACACTCTCGGGTACGCCTCGGTGTCGACGTACTCCTCGAGGAGTTGCAGTTGCTCGATTTCCATGAGAAGATCGCATGCCTCGGATTCGGCGTTGTGCGCCATGTGGTAGGGCACGATCTGACGTGTCAATCCCAAAAGCTCAGGACGAGAAGCCTCGTTCGTGCTCCATTCTTGAGCGATCTCGGCGCTCAGATGGCGGACGTACTCGTGGCCCCACGAACCGATTTCCTCGTGGGATCCGATGAGTCGAAACTTGAGACAGTCGCGGTCCTCGGACACTGTCATACCGAGCACTGAGATAATGTCCGCGCAGAACGCTTTGGTCTTCGGATCTTTCATCTTGGAATGACAATCTTTAAGCGTCTGATAGTGCGGCCTGAGAAACTTCAGCGGTTTCGGCACCGACGTCATCGATGTCGTCGACGCACGAATCAGAGTCCGAAGCGACTCGAGAGCCGCCTTGTACAGTGACTGATCCGGCTCCTGCAGCCTCTGGACCAACATGTTGAGCTCATCTTGAAGATTCTTGTCCTCCTCGGACTGAAACAGAAGATTAGGCCCGTGAGTTGGGAACGTCTGTCACGAGGGGATCCCTGTTTTCGACTGAATATGACTCGACTCGCAGGGGCAGCGCAGCAGGGGTTCCTCGCCATGGAAAACCCACAGATCGCCGGATCGAAACGATATTTCGCTCGGGAATTCAAAACCCTGGGGACCTAGGTCATTTCGAAGAGACCGGGGCGGAAATTGAGCGAAAACTTCTGAGAATTCTGCCATGTCATCCGAGTGTTTGTCAGAGAATGGCCGGCTTCCAACGATCGCTCGGCGACTCGATACTCACCAATTCAGCATCTTTCGTTTCGACAACTTTACGCTTCTCCTCCTTTTTGTCTCCCTCAGCTGGAGCGGGCACCGCTGTCTTGCTTTCCACCATTTCAGACCAAGATTTTTCGCGATCAAGAGCTACACGACGACGACGACAATGATTTGCAAACACTGCTCTTGCTCTAGTCTTATCGTCTGCTAGCAGAGACAAACATTCCGGGAGCTTCAATCAATCGGACTGAAGTCATCGCTCACGAGGGATCCCAACGGTGATATTGATTCCTCTGGGGGTCAGCGGGACGTTCTCCTCAGCAGAGAATCGCGAGAAAAGATGTAGCAGTGATGGAGATACCTCGCTCATCATTTTCATCCAGCTCTTTTTTGAAAGACCCGCGCGAATCCAAATATGGCAGCATGCACCGTTCGACTCTCCTTTTCACTTGATTCCCCGGGTCCCCGGCGCTCACTGTAGAGCTCCGGCTACTTTTCTGCTGTCCAGTATGCTCAGAAAATGAGCTTTTTTATGTAGTGTAGAAGAGCGGAATCCCTAGGGATCGGAAATGGAACCGCCGAGCGATGTTCACGAGGCGCCACAAAGTGAGAAAATATCCCCTCGATAGAAGGAGAGCAGAATCATATGCTTGATCGATCGATAGGCCATAAATTCTGCGGGTTTCATTCCTATGGCTGTCCATGCGGTTTAACTCGCGCGAATTCGAACACGGATCCGCGATTGACTCTTCGAGATCAATTCGCTTAGAACCCCGTCTGGGAGAAAGCGACGCTAGGCAAATGTTCTCTTCCCACAGCTGATGGATTCGCCGAAACCCCTCTCTTCTCCGGGACGGAATGGCTCGAATGGGGTTCCAACGCACAGTATGGTCTCTGGCTTTTGGTTTTCCTGTTCCTCAGAGTCGTCATAACATTCATGAGACTTACCAACACGAAATTCAAGCGGAACGTCAAGAAGCCGTGCAAAGCAATGATTGTTTTAGGTTCAGGTAAGTACATCTCCCTCCTCTATGAAGCGCTTTCCCGGAGTGATTCCCTTCGTTCGCATAGATAACCGCTTCGAATCGGTGGCTTAGGGTACCTCAAACTCCTATGTTATGTTTTTCCTCCCATGCTGCAGGGGGACACACATCCGAAATGTTACGTCTCATCGAGGGAGTCAGCAAGCTCTTATACACGCCACGCATTTACGTCCATGCGGACACAGACAAATTGAGTTCGTTCAAAGTGACGCAAGCAGAAGGTTCGTCATAAGCTCCGTATAGCGGGAAATTGTGCTTCCGAGCTCCGAGAACGTTCTGACCCACTGTTTTCGTCCCATGTCTAGGTCGCCGGAAAGACTTCTGTGTGAGATCCATTTCTCGACTGCGTGAGGTGCATCAGTCACTCATTTCCGTTCCGATCACGGCAATCCGTCCATTCCTGCAGGTTTGCACTCTCCTCCGGACGGCTGAGCGGAGTCCCGGATATTCCTGATTTTCCCTCATCAGAGAATACATTGGAACTCTCACACTAGAAAACCAAGGAATTCTTAGAAGAACCTCTGCTGCTTTCAGGCTCCGTGGATTTTGCTGTGGGATCGACCTGATGTGCTCCTCGTGAATGGCCCGGGGACGTGCATACCTCTGGTCCTATGGTCATTCATATTCGGCGTGAGTTTTCGAGATTTTTCGTGAATACAATTCGAAATGATGGAATATTTCGAATCCCTCTGGGGATGAAAGCCATTGAAGGGATGGGGAATAGAGTTCAGTTTCTCATCCTCGGCGATGTCATTCTAGGTGTTGTGTCTTAAGCGACCGGTCGTTGTTTTTGTGGAGAGTTTCTGCAGGGTCGAAACTTTGTCCCTGACTGCCAAAGTAGTGAAGCCTTTCATCGATAGACTGATAGTTCAATGGAGACCCTTGCACGAGAAGTACAAAAAATCGACCAGGTACCACGGCTTACTCGTATGAGGCATAGCAATCGAATGTACAATAAACTCAACGGTCGAGCCCAGAAATCCTGGATCCAGAGTTTCATCTCTCTCGCAAGCGTCTATCCTGAGATTTGCGCAGCTTCGTCATGAACTTCAAAGACTCTAGCACCTCTCCAACTCTCGGAGGTCTCTACAAGGAGCCGTATAGCGTTCGAGCCTCAATCGGCGTGATGGAAGCTTCCGCGACAACAAAGAATACTCTTATTTCGCCATTTCCAGGTACTTCCGACACTATTTCAGACGACCAATATTTATTCGGAAGACTTCCTTAAAATTATCTCTGCACGCTGGGTCATCGAAAATCGAAATATTTTGCGCGAAAGATAAGTGAGTCCAGACTGAAATTGATTATTCCATTCTTAAGTACATAGAATCCGACACCAGAAACAACCGAGCCAGCGACCGACGAAACCAGGGGACTTATCAAACGCGATTAGATCGATAGCGTCTGATTTAATTCACAATTTTCTAAAATCTCGACGCATCTCCGAGCGCTTAAGTGGTTTTCACAGAGCTCCGAGTAAAGACGATTGATCTGCGCTGCATAAAAAACCTTCGCGCTGATAGGTCTCTTTTTGAACAACTTTCGTATGATAAATCGAATCCATAAACCGTTAGTTTCTAAGCATCGATTTTCATAATTGCCGCCGAGCATTCGATGCTGCTCGCGATATGTCCACCGCTGCATACCCGGACCGACGAGGATTTCCGGCTCAAACGTTGAGTGGAGAGCTTCGTCTACGACCAGACGGCACATGCCGTAGTCAATGACGGCTGCTCGTTTCCCGAAAGACTTGATTCTGAAGCGATTCCCGCTGATTCGAAATTCTAAATCGCTCTCGTCGCAGTCCTTGAGCACAACATTACTCAAGTGAAGATCTCGGTGCTCGAACTCAAACGACTGCTCTGCAGCCGCCAGGGCGTAGGTGACCTGGAGGACTATCGATGCTCGTATGTCTCCGGAAAGCTTCGGTAGTTCCGTTTCCAACTCACACCCATCGTACGAAGTATAGAAGACTACGTAAAATTGATTCTTCGGTCTATCGAGAGGGTGCGGCTGCTCTGTCTCCTGCGGACACTTCCGACGGAACGCTTCGTATGCGTAGATCATGTCTTCAGTCTGCTGGCCCTGCACAAGGTGGGTACCTCGTAGACTGAGGAAGGACGGCGCCCGGTGGCGCGGACTTTCGAGAAGGCATCTGCAAGGGGAAGCGTAATCTAGTGATTGGCGGAGAAGCTTTCGCGAACGCAAATTACCTCCATTACCAACGAGCCATTCTTCCCATGCCATGTATGTCTGAACAGCTTGTGATTGACCAGAAGAGTCGAACTCACCGGCCCGCGAGACACATGCTCATCTCAGGGAGCATGTGATCGAAAGCAGGCTGCCCGGGTTGCCCGACAGGGATAAGTTTGAAAACATCGAAGTCATTTTCACCGTTGAATCTCGTCCGCACCCGATACACTTCGGAAAAAGATCCTTCACCGAGTTTGGATACAATTTCCATACCCCAGTTTTTGAAAATGTATTCGAAGTCGACCGGATACTCCGGCATTATGAGAGGCGCGAGCTGGAATAAAAGAAAAAGATACAGATCAAATCGATTACGCGAATGCTCCGATTATGGAACGAGAACATAAATTACAATGCTTTCAAGAGATAATTATCACTCTCGTCAACCGGGAAACGGTGGGCCACGATGGCGAGTATTGATTAGCTGATCGTTGACTCGTTCATTGAGCGAGCACCCAATGTCTAGACATGGAGCTTGGAGCGCACCTTTAGCCAACTCATGCGCTCCGCTACGACTCGGAGTTGACTCGCGTCTCTCAGATGACTCATGTACAATTCGGATAGCTGAGTATCACTGCGGCGACGTCTTTTCGGCGGAGACTCGTTCTCCTGTACGGAGGAATGGTTGACTTCAGCCAGCGTTTTCCTTCGCTGTAGAACCGAAAGCTTGCTATTGTTGAGGATTGAGCTCATTATGGGACTTGCTTCGGAAACCTCAGATAAGTTACTGGAATGATGAGGAAAAAAATTATTATAATTTTCCTGCTCTACGTGATTCGAGACTGCGATGGCCCAGCGAATTTCTCCCACCTGTGGAACATCTCGGGAGCGGGAGTGATCCGACCGTTGTTCTCCTTGTTTCGACTCGATAATTTCCTGCGGACAAATTATCGACGCCTGCTTTGAGGATCCGTGGAATTCAGAGCTCATTCCATCTTTCTAACCACCGAATCAGGTGGATCGAAGGAGACGAAGAGTTCAAGAGTGCATGAAATTCAGAGCCTCGCTAATCACCAGGCAATCACCAAGCAAGATTGACGGTTCATACCTTCGCCCAAAGAGTTTCATCTTCGATTTGTTTCGACTGGCTTCGAAAATGTTCGATTTCATCGAGCTGATGTTCTCCGATTGAATCGCCGACTCGTCAGACTCAGAATCGGACGGCGGTGGATCTCCGATAGAACTTGACCACAAGCTGTCAAGGCAGACGGTTATTACTCTCAGAGAAGAAGAAGAGCGACGATTCGACGGGATCGAATCGGTTCGTCGAGAGCAAGAAAAATTACTGACATCTATAAAGTACAGTCATGAATTCACCTCGTTCCAAACGATGCTCTACAGTTCCTTCGTTTTGACACCAATATTGAGGGTGGCGGGCTGCATCCCGTACAATCCCGAAGCTTTTCGGTCCCATCCGCAGGCCATGAACTGAAGTGGAATGGTCAGTAATTAGAGCGGGAGACGCTGATCACGGGGCGTCGTTTAGAGGTTCAGAGTACACTGAAAGAAGTGGCGGGGACCCATCTATCGAACACTTCACTCGCCTGTCAATCGTCAGAGACCTTCGACCGGCGACTCTCGCCTGTGAATTCTCTTGATCAGAGTCGCGGATCGTCCCTGTGTTCGATGTAGATGGACTCCCATCGTGATGCACCGCTCCCGAACTCGCCGTAACTTCCTTCGGCCCATATCCCACAGTGTCGAAGTCCAATCTCTGCAGAACAACTCTACACTCCAAGGCGAGCTGATTTGTCGCCACTTCTGGTTTGTCATGACGGAGAGGGGAGGCTGGAGGAGCTTTCTTGACTCCACAGCGTCTCACGACTTGCGAACTCTTTTTCTTCTGTCGTCGTCTCTCAGCTGCTTTCTTCGATTTCAGGAACAGGGGTGTTGGCGGAGATAGTGAAAAGGCTCCTCCGAATAAGCTGTACGGGCTAGAACCCAACGGACTTCCTGGAAAACGTCCCCGTGGCACTGAACTCATCCTCTGGCACTTGCGTGAGGATATCTCTATGGCTCCAAAGCTCCAGGATCGGATCTCCTTCATCCACTGTACAGTTCCTTTTTTTCTGGCGGGAAAGTCTGAAGCAGACGACGCGTGAGCTCCGCACATCGTCCTCCTCGAAGAGCTCGTGAGAGATGGGGAGCGGCCGGCTTCTTCACGAAGGCTGTTTTCCGGATGAGCTGTGAACCCGGAAAAAATTCCGCGAACATTCGGCGGGAGTCAAATACTCATGCGGTTCGGAAGGCGGCAGGAGAGAATGGATTAGCATTCCGGACGCTCGGGGGCTGTCTTCGGACAGCGATCATCTGTTCGGCTCGTCATTATCACGCTATCAGCGTTCGCCGACGAAGGACGGAGATGCTTAGCCGGATCTTGTTTCCGTCCTTGTTTTTTTCGAAGACCATGCAGAACTATTGAGGAGAACCGATTTGCCGGAATTACTTTGATTCTGCGTCGACAACGCGCGGCGGAGTGCGCGAGCCGGCCGCCAATCCCGGCGGAACCGTTCGGGAGATTATACGGAGTGATGCGGAACCTATCTCGGGTTACCCGGTTCCCTGATGATTTCGAAGAGCCCTGGATTCCCGCGACCTCTGACCTGTCAGCCCCTCTGAGCATAACTGAGCGTCGACTTCTCACCGTCAATGAGACGGACTACATCCTCGGCCGCCTGATATCATGTGACGGCGGAAGGGACTTCACCGTAGTCATAATACCGATAGAGAGACTAATAACAGAGACAGGATCTGTGGGACTCCAACCGAAAAACTCTTACGGCGGGAAGCTCGGCTTCCGGTCCCGACAGCGGTCAGCTAGGGATGGGGTGGGGATGGGGGATGGACGGCCGAATAGCAGACAGCTCCGTCTCCCGGCCCACGGGCGCGCGGTGGAAGCGGCAGCGCCTCTCCCATTGACATGGCGGTTCGCTTCGAAAACGTGCCTGACTCGCCTTCTCGGGATCTTCTCGCTGATGGATCGAGTTTTCAGGTGATACCCCGAAAGAGTACTTCGAATTTCTCGACTTAATGAGGGGAGCGGAAATCGCGGGATCTCTGAACAGGGCATCCGTCCTCCGATAACAGTGCCCACTGATGTTTCTGCTCTCGCCCTTAACCCTCGCCGTGCACGTCGGTCGCCTTCGACGGGCAGAAGCACTCACAAATGCAGCAGCGAGAGCTGTGGTGTGCGAATCGATTGGACGTAGTTCTGTATCGCGATCGTATGCCTTCCGCTGAAGCTGTCAGGCCATTCGCAATTCGCAACGGACGGGACTCCTTCTGCAACCCCGAGAGGCTGACCTTGTTGTTCGAAATAGAGGAGCGAGATCCTCTCATCCCGAAAGATATCACTCTAACACCGACTGCAGCATGGTGCTGGTCCTCGAGATACGACTTGACAGTGTCAGCCGACTGAGCATGGGGATGTGACGCTCTCCTGTCATCTTCCGTGAGGAGGATCTTGTTGGTGCGAATTCGAGTCTCAAGCTCGAACCGGTAAGTCGGTAGGGACAATAACTTGATCCTGCGGACTTGCTCTGGCAGTGAAAACAGAAATGTCAGAAGAGGAAGGGAGTAGTTCGGGCACGTCTAATCCGGTGTTCGACAATCCACAGAATTCCAGCGTCAAACCCATCATTATGGCCAGGGCTTTATTTCCCGAAGAGCAGAGCTCCATCGATTACAAGGTTGTGGAAACTGACTTTCGAAGGCGCAAGCATCTAGTTCGCTTCGTTCTTTTCGCGGTACTCGTTGTCGTGCTAGTCGTTGCTCTGGCGGTATCCGTCGCGAGGAGTAGGGAGACTGGCGTCCATGAAGATGATCTCGACCCCGTCAGCAGCATCGCTCCTCTTACGGAAGAAGTTCGGCTGCGCCCGGACCTCGGAGAGAACTACACGAATGCTGAAAATACTGAGAAGTGGACGTCCTATCTCCGTTTCGAAGAACCAGCCCCGCTCCCGCCTATGCTCCTCACGACAGATTCGCAGAAAATCGAGTTTTCGCTCCCATCCTACAAGAACTCGACTCTATGCATAGAAGTGCATCCTCACAAGTACTGTCTGCTGCTACTATATAGAAATCAACCGTTAGGAATGGGTCTCTCGGAGAGGGCCGAGCCGCCGCGATTCGGAAGATTGGAAAAGAATCTGCGAGCATCGAGTGCTCTGTACGACTTGGATGCAGGATTTGTCTATGAGTACTGCAGGGATCTCCCAGTCGTACCAATGATGCAGCAGTGAAGCGAGTGATGTTCAATGCTTTGTCTTGCTCAAGACTCTTCGACAGAAATTCGGTCAGCCGCTCATCGGCGATTTCGTGGGCATAGGTATGGGTAAGCCGACAGGCTCGTTGTCACTTTCGAAAAAGACGAAGTAAGTGGAAGATCTCAACCTTTTCTCCCGGGGCGGCCGGGAAGGAAAATGATTTATCGACACATATTTATCTGTTTATCAATCTGACGTCGCCTGAGAGACCTCGCGAGTACACCTGAGCCCCGTTGGAGGTGGACAGTGTGAAGAATAAGCGAAAGAATGGGTCCCCCGAACGGGGCTTGGGCGATCGTGCCGCAGATCAGGAGTTTCATGTTCGCGGATTGTCGTTGGCGGAAACGGAGCAGTCTCGCCCACGATGATTGAAACAAGAGCCCAATGATTACGTTCCGATTCGGTTGGAAGGCGTGCCTATTTAGGTAGGATGAGGAGTGCGAATTCAAAGATTTCACTATGCGGAGTTCTATAGTTTGAGGGATATTGTTCCCTCGCGAGCATTGACTTCGATGCGATAGAATTCTGAGACGTGGATTCCTCAGCTCCTTCGACCTCGTTGTGAGGAGGGCTTGGTTCGAAAGACTCTGCTCAGAAGGTTCACTCAGGCAGCAACTGGCTGTGGCCCAATCTGTATCCATCAGTCGAAGTTCCTACTTTTCATCGGACTCTCGTGAAGGGAGTTTTGACATACAATCACGATCCTTCTAGTAAGTGTGCATAGTGAGGTTTGCCGACGAGAGCGGGCAGGACGTCCAAAGGCGTCAGGCGTCCAGGCACTCACGATGAGCTGAACAAGACCAACGCACCGTTAGCGCAAGTCACGATTTCTATCTGTCGACGCTCTCAAGGAGGACGAGCCGAAGCTTCCGGGAACTCTCACGTCCCAGCTAGAATCGGCGAATGCGAGTTTTTGATGTAGATATGGGTTCACTGTCTAGTTACCGCTTGTTCCGGTTTTTGTGACCCGGAAGGAAGTGCGGGGAACGAATCCCGAATCAAAGTGATGAATGTCCCTCCATTGTTGCTCTAATATATTCTTTAAATAAACTCAGACTGTTGCAATTCATGGTTTTCTTTCGAGTCATCAGGCACTTGGGTCTCGCCCCGACTAAGAAGCGTCGTCGCTACCCGTGGACGGCGACCATCCACCCTCCCTCGCTGAGCGAAGTGATGAGACTCATGTTCCGGAGCTGCTTAGATGGCTACTCTTGTTTCTCCGTCGATAACATTACATCCTATCCCCACGGCAAGCTCAAATCAGCTCGCCACTCGCTCGGATCGCTCGATTTAATATAGGATTCGGTGCTTATCTGAGAACGTAAAACGAGGGATCTCGATATGCTGTCCCGCTCATGTGAGATGCTAGATGAGGGATCGGTAGAAACCCGCGGGTGGAGACACCTCCCGGTTGGGGATTGGAAGGAATACAAAGCCCAGAGCTCTCTTAGTGAGCCAAACGACAATACGGTCTAATATCGTCGAGTCATTCGTTTTGGTTTATTCTCATCAGCTGGATATAACGCATTCTTAAGTAACTCATTTGAAAACAATATTTACAGACTAAATCTGCCTCTCCGAAAAGAGGGAGCTTCCTTTCGACCGAAACACTCAAACTTGCAAATCATCTGATATGATGCTCCTACTGTCAGTCGTTCTCTCGGCAGAAGATCCTCCTCATGGACCTTGGTTTCCCATCTTGACTGAGGAGGTCTGGAAGAGAACGCAGCCGTGTTAGTCGAGCAATGGTACAGGATGGATGACGGAGGGAACCGCGGTTAGAGAATAGAATCATGACGCGTACGAAAGCCGTATGTAGGGGGCGCTTCCAGACCGCTCGTCTTTGTGATTTTGTGATTATTCTCCCTCCGCGGCGAGTTTGCTCAGACATACCATGATGATGGCAACGATGAGTCCGAACAGTCCGATGGCAGACGCGAAGATTTCAACAACCAGCAGCTTGACGAAGAGCACGGGATTCGCAGCATCAGCGAGAGCGGCTCCAGATCCGACAATTCCCACGGACATGCCGCACACCAAATTTCCGAAACCGACGGTGAGACCCGCACCGAACACGATGTAAGCGGAGCCGTAGTTCTGTCTCAGGGTGGCAGGAGAGTGATCCGGATCGAAGTTCTCTATCATGTTCGTCAATACGATTGCCATGATGATTCCGTAGATAGCGACGGCTTCACAGAAAATGATCGAAACCAAATTCTTTGTCCGGATTCGAGGAGCTTTGACTCCGCCACCGACGATCGATACACCGGTCGTGTAAATTCCTCTGCGGAGCGGAGATGGGTTATTTCTCTGGAGTCCGTACCGACAAGAAGCACGAAGCTTTCGGAATACTTACGAAGCAGCCCCGATGACCGAGAGCGCGATCGATAGGCTGATGCCCATCCCACACCAAACATGAGGCTGAATAGAAGTCAGGAACCTGAAATAGGAAAAATGCTCAACCCCTCCAGATTTACCATGCGATACTCGTGTCTTTTCTAGAGGACCCTGTATCCTGCGGGATTTTAGACATTCTCCAAAGATTCCATGAAAGAGCCGGAAGCATTGATCACGATGTTATTGAAATACGGCTCGAGCAGTCATCACGTGCTTCGGCTCGTTCTATCTATCGGTCGCGTTCTCAGCAAAGCACAGGCATCGAGTCAAGTCCTGCTATTTGATGAGCTGTCGGGACTGTCTCCGAGTTAGAAAAACGTTTTTCCGAAAACTCACCATCCTACATCGAATCGGACACCTCTACCCGAGCACATATAGTAAAGAGCTGAAAGAGAAGAATTGGGAATTCAGAATCGTTCGAGAACCCGTCCCATTGGGGCATCGCTCTCTTGCGTTCGAGGCATCACGTGATTACTGATATGAAGGAAACCACGGAGATCTTGCGGCTCGAACGATCAAGCGTGAAAGAAAATCCTCGATATCCGGTCCAGGTAGATGCTCCACAAGGGCGAATGGATGTATCAAATAACCCAAGTATATTCATATGTGTGACAGATGTAATGAAAAGTCGAGAGTAATTCGGATGAAGCTGCTCTCACCGATACTAAGGAACGCGAACAGCGAAGTTGCGTAAACGACGTGCTGCGAGTACAGCAGAAGTCCCATGTTGGTGTTGTTTGACCACTTCGGAAGAGAAAGAAAACTGTACTCCTGCTACTCCTCTGCACTCCAACTGCTCAGTCACACTCGCAGTCTTGTGACAGGCACAAGGTGGCCCGCCTTGCGCACTTACCCATCTACTGCAATGTACCACAGCTGCCTCGATGGGGTGAGGGACCGAAACCAGACACAGTATGTGGGAATGGGTTCACTCGGGGCCTTCGCGATTCTTGTCCGGTACCACAGAGGTACCACGCGAGAGCGGCGAGAGACATCCAATCATTCGAGCCTCATAAATTCCAAACGTATCCATCGCTCAAAATATGCCAATCGACCCCCGAGCTCGATTGCGAAATCAGAGTATGCGGGTCGCGATGTCTCTGATACGAAGGAATTCCGCTCGGTCTGAGGGATTCCGGACCGCGGTCGAGATCGAAGCGACTTCGGCTAATTTAGAGAACCCCAGGACGACGACGAGACGGAGGAGAGGGCTGTCTGCTATTCGACCGTTCCTAGTAGTAGACCGCTGCCGCCGAAAGCCGAGCTTCGTTCGTGCGTCTGAGATGCCCTCCCATCTCGATCGTGAAGAGCGAAGAGCGATGCCACTGCGGTCACCGTCTATATAGATGATGAGCCTCAATCACTCGGTTCACTTCTCGGGTCGCCGTCAATGAGTGCAGTCGCTCGTGTTTCTCTAATGAAGTGCAGCTCATGTCCGAAGGGTATAACTTCTGAGACGTCCGCCGTACAGTGCGCTCGGCTCGAGTTCTGTGCCTGTGTGTCTGCTTAGTGTTCGATCGTTCGGTCAGTTGGTCGTCCGTTCGGATCGTAGTCTCCCAGGTTTGAGCGGTCTCGAAGTATCGGAGAACTCGTCATCGCAGTCAGTCCGACAGAGCCCTACATCGCACGATGTCCAAGCGAAAGTCGCGAGTAGCTCTTGCCTCCGACTCGGAGGGTTCTGCTGCGTCTTCGGACGAAGACAGATCCATGGCGAACAAGAAACCCAGAGTGGACGATGATGACGATGCCACTTCGGATTCTGGTGACGAATGGGGTACCAAAGGTAAGCGAATTCACCTCTCCATTTTCTTATTCATCGCACTACACCTCTGGAATATAGTTCCACGTTGAATTCGTGGACATTGAGTTGTCCAAAAAATTGATGCGGAGAGCTCACGCAGCCAAGCGAAGCTCTGACCGTCATGTTGCGTACGAATCGGTTCTTTGAACTCCAGCGTCATTGTCGCACAACTCGTCCTGGAGACGGTCGAAGCACTGACAGTTTTGATTCCGACCCGGAATGCTGCGAGTTCTTGATCAACTAGAACCGATAGGTATCGACGTGAGCCGCTATGATTCGAAGAATCCACCTTGTCCTGGAACCCTAAAAGGATTCCGCAGACTTGTAGCTATTCCGCGCCTAGCCCCGATCGTTCCCGCATTGACTTCTAGCTATCAGGGACATACTGAGACGTTTCGTCAGAATTATGCTATGCAGCCATGCAATACTAATACATGCTGCCGGTCTCTGATCCGATATCTCTGCGCTCCCGATGGAGCTCAGCTGCCGATGATTATGCGCTCATGAGTCAAGTTCCTGATGGAGATGAACTCTGAAGGCGATGACTGATCGATTTATTTTATCCGCAGGGAAAAAGAAGGTGCTATCGAAGAAAGCTTCGCCTAAAGATAACTCAGACAAGAATTCCGATTACGAGAGCGAGGAGGGTGAAATCACCGATGATTCGGTGGGCGGCTCAGACGTCAGCGAGGAGTTCAACGATGGCTACGACGAAAACCTGATGGGTGACGAGGAGGATCAGGCCCGACTTGCCAAAATGACAGAAAAAGAGCGAGAGCAGGAGATCTACAATCGGATCGAGAAACGTGAAAGGCTCAGAGCTCGCTTCGAAATCGAGAAGAAGTTGCGCCAGGCTAAAAAGAAACAGGAATCCAAGGAGAAACAGTTCACCGATGTTTCAATGCGATCCAAGGAACGCAAGAAGAACTTGGAAGGCCGACAGGACAAGAAAAGTCAAGCCATCCAAAGTTTGAAGGCTGAGCGTGAGAAGAAAAAGAAGGCCGAAGAAGAGCGCAAGGAGAAAGAGGACACGAAAAAAGATTCCGGTGCTCTGAAGAAACTCAAGGCGTCCGATATTTATTCCGATGACGACAGTTCCGATAGCGAGAGCGACTCGGACGCGAGCTCCACGAAACGCTCAGCTTCTCGGAGTCGTTCCCGGAGTCGGAGTCCTTCGAGGAGCAGGTCCAGCTCGAGAAGTAGGAGTAGGTCTTCAGGTGCGTTCCCTTTGTCTTCATCTTGGAGCTTATGCCCGGTAGAAATCGGCTCGGCAGTGGCCATCTTCGGAGGCGAGGCACTTGATCGACTCCCCTTGGTACTCATCTGACGTTAATGTTGCTCTTCCAGATTCCGATTCAGATTCAGCTTCGTCTCGACATAGTGAAGAACGCGTCGTTCACGTCAACACGAGAGATCAGCTCTCGCAGATCCGATTATCCAGGTTCCGTCTCGAGAAATGGCTCTTCATGCCATTCTTCGCCAAGACCGTCGTCGGCTGCTTTGTGAAAATCGGAGTTGGGCAAATGGGAGGAGCTCAGAACTACAGAGTGAGTGATCCTGCACGGCGAAAAGCTGTGAATTTTCGAGTACATCTTCTCGTTCTTCATTCTGGAGCCTAATCTCTATCCTCTTTGACAGATCGCCGAGATTCTGGAGGTGGTGGAAACCCCGAAAGTTTATCAATGTGGCAAGAATCGAACCAATAGAGGCCTCAAGCTGAAACACGGCAAGGAAGAGCGCATCTATAGAATTGAATACGTTTCGAATCAGGAGTTCACGGAAAACGAGTTCCAAAAATGGATGGCAGCGATGGGCGTCGACAACATCGGGCTTCCGACCGTGTCCTTCATCGAGAAGAAGAAAAAGGATCTGGAAGCAGCCAACAATCACTCGTGTTCGGCAAATGACATTCAACAAATGGTTGACGAGAAGAAGAAGTTCAAGAAAAACCCTCACAATTATGCAATGGCCAAAACAGAGGTGATGAAGAAGAAAGAAATGGCGGAGCAGCAAGGTGACCAGGAAGAGGCTCGCAAATGGAGCGAGGAACTCGATAGGCTCGAAGATCGAGCAAAGGAGCTGGATAAACAGCGGACTAGTACGATATCCGCTATCGCATACATTAATGAAAGGAATCGTCAGAAGAACATTGTGGACATCGAGCGCGCTATACTCGAGGTTTGTACCAGGTTTCACGGATATGTCTCGTAGAGGAGGTACGAAATCGATCACGAATGGGGAGTTCCTATTCGTACTAATCATACCTTTCCTCGTCCTTCAGGAGGCGAAGAAAAATAAACTCAAGGCGGACGACCCGTTCACGAGACGGAAGTGCGCGCCGTCTCTCGTGACGAAGAAGAATGTGGTTGAGAAGATCTCTTCCGAACAACTCAAGACACTCGAAGAGATGAAGAAGAAGGACCAGGAACGTCGTCGACTGGAAGAGGAGAACCAGAAACGTGAGGCCGATGAGCTGGCCAAGAAGAAGAGAGATTCCGAAAAGGCTCCCAGACAGAACGGCGAGGACCTTTTCACCGCTCACGATTTCGACATCAAAATCGATCTGGATTCCTCGATCCCGTCGGCCTCGGTAGCCCATCCGATCCGAGCTTCCTTCGGGGGAACATCTTTCCTCAGGGATACTGCGCCCAAACGATCCCTCAACCTCGAAGAGTACAAGAAAAAACGGGGTCTGATCTGAACTTGCTATTCAATCTGGTCGTAGTAAACGGGGTCATGTTGAGTACGGGGAACATCGCGTCCAGTGATGTCATTTGTTGAAAAGATGAAACAATTCTTATCTATTGGGTTCGGGAAGTGTATTCACAGGAAGTAAATAAACTGTACAAAACTGTAAAAAACACTTGTAAACATTCCGGCCTTCAATCTCGACCCCCGCGGATCGGAGAGACCAGCGTGGGGCAGAAGACTTCGCGAAAAAGCAGCGGCGATGACCGATACCCGTGAAATATTTTTGCTGCAGGTGGAAGTGTGCGATTCTTCTCGTGAACCTTTCAGAATTTTTCTTAGCGTGCCTATGCTCCGGAGAACGATGTTCGAAATGTGGAGCTTGGATGCAGCACATCCAGCACTTTCACAATTTTCGCTACATCTGTCCGTCAGAGGGACAGGCAACATTGGTGCCTTCTAACCTCAGGACGTTCCGACCTCTGTCGTAGGAATATCCAAGAGACAGAGTGGGGAAGGGGCGAAGGAGGAATTGAGAAGACGGGCTATTAGAAAACCGCTCCGCTGATGAAATTCCTGACTCGCGCTTTATTCAGGTGGACGGGATCGATCTTTCCATTTTGTCTCCCGGAGCGAGATATGCCTAAAGCTGAGTCATAGGAAACTTTCCCTCCCCGGAACGCCCCCTCTCAGTTCCCGAAGTCGATTATTCCCGGAAGCGGACTCGCCTTTCTCGAAGCCAGATTCTCTGAAGGCGAAATCACGCATGGCGAATAACGAATCCAGACTCCGTACTCCAGACCGAGCCTCAGGGAGACCGCTCGAGCCATCCCGCCCTATGAAGCTTCAGTGAAGCGTCGCTTACAGGCCTCGAGCCCCTATCGATTGGAAACATCTACCCTTGAGGCAGAACGCTTCCGCTCGGCCTCTTAGGATGCCATGCGACGGGTCGCATAGTGACCCTAAAGGTTTGCAGATGGAAATCGCTGACCAGAATCGAAAAGGCCGCCCGAGCGATCGAGGCGCCCTCAGCTCAGGAAGCGGTGATTTAGAGAACTAACACTGTAGTCGGTGGAAGTCGTTGTCCGACTAAACTACGTTCAGTCTCGTCCTGAGGCCTTCAAGCCACTTTTCTCAGGTCTGGTAGTGAAGCTAGGCGCCGCTTGTGTCCATCCGGAGTGGAAAATCGGGAGTTGAGGATCGTTTCCGCGTGGAATTCGCGATTTTTTCACCCGAAGGGCCTCGCCTCAAAATGGCCGCTCGGGTCTAGCTCTGATCGCACAGCAAAGAGAGGCGCGAAATTCGAAATTCCCATTGTCTCCCGGAGGAGAAATCGTCGACATCCCATATCCAATTACCGTGTTCGCTGAAATTTTGAGGTGAGTTCTAGAGTCGGTACTTGTCTCTTATGAACCTTGCGGTGGTGTATTTGCACGTTCGAGAGCCTCGCTTAATCTCGATGGGTTTTATCAAGGCGATAAATAAGTGCACATGGAGAAAACGTTTTAGAGCATGGCTTGGCACCGATCAGTAACTGCTGAAGCATCGATTCTGAGATGATTGCTGGCTGAAAAACGCCGGACGGTAGAATCAAGACGTCGCCACGGTCCCGATGCGTGTGATCCGAGCTCAACGAGTCCGATTTGAATCATCTGATTGAGTTCTGTGCACCTAAATACATCATTTCGTTTTCGAATCACCGTGTGTATTAGTGAAGTCTTGGCTCGCGACTCGCGACAGAGAGGGGATTTATTGAGCTTGCCTTAGCAGCCAGTTCCGCTCGTGATTATCTCCGACAATTTCGTTTTGTTTTTTTCCTGCAATCCTTCCCGGGATAAAATTTCCTGGTCTAAAGAGCGCCTTCTTTCCAGATGAAATCTTGACTGCGATGGAGACCGCGGTACAACCTCCTGCTTCCTACTCTGGGAGAGATCCTTGTTTAGAGCAAGCGGGACCGAGCGGATGCGCGAAGAAAATCCCCAAGCGACCGCCACTGGACAACAGTGCCAACAACAATAATAACAACAATAATAATAATCGGAAGCGTCGAGGTTCTTTTGGAAATGCTCACGACAAGTTCAAGAGACGGCGTCGAAATGATATCGTGCTGCCGACGAAATTCATGTTGGGCGGTAACATCACCGACCCCTTGAACCTGCGGAGTCTGGAAAATGAAGAAGTCAATCGCTTAGCGAATCAAACGCCGGTAGCTTCTCCGGCGCCGGCTGCAGGTGGCGGCAGTGAGCGCGTCGAAGTGATAATTCCCCAAAATATCAACGATCCGCTGAACCTGAACGGCACCGAGGTCATCCGACCGCCACCTCAACCAGTCAAGAAAGATCGGCGGAATAAGCGGAGTAGACCGAACAACAGGCGTAGGCACCAAGAAGATCCGCAAAATCTCGAAGCAGCGCGGAAGTCGGACGGCGCCAACGATGACAACGGTTGCAACACAGGCAGCGGGAACAGCAACAATTATACGAATAACAGCAACAACAGCAGCAGCAGCAACAATAACAACAACAACTGCAAGAATCCTAGAAAGAACAGCAAGAAATACCAAGCCCAAAGGTTCCGGTACGGAAACTATAATCGCTACTACGGATACCGTAATCCGGGCGATAGCGATAGTCGATTGGCTCTGATGAAGAAAAAATGGTTCCTCGACAAATCATGTCTCGACATCGGCTGCAACGTGGGCCACGTGACTCTGAATATCGCTAGAGATCACGAACCGAAGCAAATGATCGGCCTGGACATCGACCCGGATCTCATTCGTATCGCTAAGAAGAACGTCCGTCACTACCTGCACCAGAAAGACACCGAAGGCAGATGGTTCCCCGCCTCCTGCCCCATGACTTTCGGTCCGATCGCGATCTCAGGAGCACAGGCTGGGTTTCCGCACAATGTTTTCTTTATCGCCGGCAACTACGTTCTGGAAAGCGACGAGATGCTCGAGACTCAGAAAGAAGAATTCGACACGATCATGTGTCTGTCCACCAGCAAGTGGATGCAGCTGAATTTCGGCGACTCCGGTATCAAGCGGGTCTTCCATCGGATATTCCGACAGCTCAAGCCGGGTGGTCGCTTCATCCTTGAGCCCCAGCCTCTTTCCTCGTACTCGAAGTTAGGGACGCCAGACCATCGGGAGAACTTCCGGAAAATGAAGTTCATGCCCGATATGTATCCCGATTTCCTCGTGAACGAGGTTGGATTCGCCTCGTTTAAGGTCCTCGGTGTAGGGAGCCACGCCGCTAAGGGTTTTCGGAGACCGCTCTACCTTTTCCGGAAAGCCAAGGCTGTCGCCGCGGACGCAGCTCCCGACGCGGCTCCCGTCGCTGCTCCCGTTCCTGAAGATCAGCAGCAGCAGCCTCCGGAGCCACCGGACCCCTCGCCCGCTCACGAGTGCGACACCACGACGGCTTCCATATGATCTGAACATATCCCAAGAATTACGTTGTAGGAGGAGCTTCATCCATCGAGATCCATGGCTAGCGGAAATCGTCACATGCTGTACATCATCTCCTCGTAGTCGATCGATCGATTAGCTAGCCAGTTTTCTTTTCGCTCGTCCGTTAACGACATCGCCGCGATGTCGTCAGCCAGAGCAGCCTTGCCCGAACGTAAGGAGTTCGCCGAGAGATGTTGTCATCACTGTCATTAGAATCCTTCCATTATTTTGAGATCGAATGATGATCGTGGCGGATGCGTGTACATTATTTGTCCGTCGCGAACTTCGTACTTCGGTTGCTACGACGAGCACCGCGGCGTTTGTACAGCCATGTACAGCGAAGGGAGGGACGAAGAGCAATGGAGATTCAGAGCGCAGCGGAGAGGGCCAGAGAAAGATCGGAAGTCGGTCGTCGGACGAAATTGTGTTATACGATTTAGGTAGAGGCGGCAGTCGCGTGGAGACGCAACGTCTCCCGCGTCGGCACTTGTTCTCCGTCTTTCTCAGCAAACTTCTCTGATCTGTAATCTGCAAAAACTCTCCATTTTGACGCCAGAAAAATAAATTTAGCGAGCGGACGTAAATTCTCTTGTTTCCCTCCCCTTCAGTCCCAGCTGCGGATCTACTTCCAGATCCAATGGATTCGACTCATCACCATGCTATCGAGAGCGAAATTGGATCGGTGATCGGCCGTCGCTCCTCGATGGCTCACAGACGGATACTGCGCCGATATTGCACTCAAACCTAACGGACTCAAAACACAGAGAGTAACTAACAAAAGACGGGAAGTGTATTCGTTTGGGCGTACAAAACACTCGGATTAAGGATTAAATCGTCCCCGATGAGCTGTCTGTCAGTAAGAGGGCATTCAGTCTCGGGCGCACAAGAAAATGTTCGTTCATGGCTTGAGGCAGAGAGAACCTCCGAGCATAACATGGAATGCGAGAGTCTTATTTCATGAGGGCTTTGACCACAGCTTTCGGGTTCAGAGCCTTCAAATCAACGTAAGTCTGTCCGGTCCCCACAAAGACGATCGGTTGTCCAGTGATGTAACTCATGGAAACTGCGGCTCCGACCTTGTCGTCGATAGTGTCGAATTTCGAGAGAACGATCCCGTCGATCAGACGCGGACTCCCCTGCATCTTGCTGTGGTCCGCAAGCGCCATGTTGAAACGAGTCAATTGATCGACGGCTTCATTGCCGACCAGAGCTTCGCCCACGAATAGCAGCAGGTCGGGCTTGTTGACCACAACCAGTTTGGCAAGGGCTCTCATCAGGGGCTCATTGTCTTGCATTCTCCCCGCCGTATCGACCAGGACCACGTCGAAGCGGGAATCGCGAGCGAAACCGATGGCTTCGGCGGCTATGCCGGCCGCGTCTTTTCCGTAGCCTCTCTCGTAGAGTTGGACCTTGCCCGGATGGAGATTGTCCAGATGACGCACATGGGTGCGGAGTTGCTCGACGGCCCCAGCTCTAAAAGTATCACAGGCCGCGATGAGGACCTTGCAATCGTTCTCCATGAGCCAGAAGCAGATCTTTGCTAGGTTCGTAGATTTCCCGACGCCGTTCACTCCACAGAACGCGATCACATAGGGACGACCTTGACGTCGACAGTCCAGCACGTCACGCAGAAGATCCATCCGGCGTTTCGGGGACAATACCTTGAACGAGAATGAGCCGTCAATATCGTCGCAGACGGAACATCGAACAAGTCCGACAGGGTACGTAACCGAAGTGCCGTGATCGAAGCCTTCGGAAATTTTATCGACGTACAAATAAATCTTCTCCTGATCCTTCCGTCTGGATTCAATCGCTGAGCGTAATTACTAATTACCTGCACCAATGCCTCGGAGAGTGTATCTCGGATGACGGATGCCACCCTTTGGAAAGTTCCCAGGACTTGACCTTCCATCTGGAGCGCGACGCTGTCGCACAACGACGAGGCAACTTCTGCGGCCACGTTTTTCGTGATGAGATGCTCACGCAGCTTCTCCAACACGGGATCGACGTCGGCTCTGGTGAGAGCTTTTTGTCCAACGAGACCCTTGAACATGCCGAAAACTCCACTTGTGTTCTTGGCGGCGCGTTGATCGTAATCCTCTTCGTCGGACTCGTCATCGTCGTAGTCTATGTCTTTTATGTCGCCTCTGGCTTGGCCAACCCAGGCGGTTTGGGGCATGAAACGATCTTCGCCGCCACCGCCGCCACCGTTAGATGCAGGCTGTAAAGCAATGTCAGAATGTCAGATGTCTTTCTAAGTGAACTTTTCATGTTATTCGCCAACGGAACGGCCTTGCCCATGGAGCGGCGTAGCCTCCGTACCGAGCCCCGATACACCATCGGAAATGTAACGAGGGATCGGTGAGGATGGAAACGGTTTGATTGAAGAGCTGATTGTCATTTCCCTCAACTCACGTCGGGAGAAGAGTAGTCGAGTCCTTCGGTCGTCTGGCCTGCGTTGTCCCATACTCGGGCCTTCTTGCCTTTCTTATCTTTATTGGACGGGGGACTCTTGCGGGAGTCGGCTTTCTTCTTTGTCATTCTATCGATCAACTTCTGCTTATTCTTAGCTATTTCGTCATCTTCAGCATTGTACACAGGACGCGCTGGTTCTTTCCTGGCCTCAACTTCCTGGAAGATTCAAGAGTCGCATTGTTCGCTACCGAGGGTTCGTTAGGGGGTTTGAGGACTCCCTCCCACCGAATCGACCGAAGATCTAATCCATTTTTTAAGGTGCTCCGCATGGATATCGAGAACATACCTTTTGAGTCTCTTTCTTATCTATGAGTGCAGCCATAGTCTTTTTCGACTTCTGACTTTCTTGGAAAGACCGCATTTTGGGCGCTCGGTTCTCCTTGCCGTACGCTTCGGCACGGCGGAGCAGCTTCTGATACTCGCCATCGAGATTGAAGTTCGCAAAAAAGTTCCTGCTCTCAAGATCTTGTCTGAAAAAGAAACGTCAGAATCATCGTACCGGGACATTAACGACGAGTGGTTGAAGGGAGGAGCGCAGACCCTCATACAAGGGATCTATCACTAGACTCTGGGTCGTGCATGCCCCAGTCTCCTCGGAAAGAGGGCATCCCCCGCTATGAGAGCCCACCATGGGATGAGACTCTCGGGAAGTTTTAAGTCTAGGGGGCAGTCGGGAGACGGGCCGAGGGCTGATTCCATGCGAATCAAGGCGGGGTATCAGAGCCCCGATCCTCCGCAACGGTCGATTCGTAGACGCACAGATGCACACGAATTCTTCGAGCTGCATCAATCATACGAAAATCGTCTTTTGGGCAACACTGCTCCACGATTTGAGTACCCTAATTTCTCCGTCAGCTCAACTGCATGAAGCTCTCGCGACGCGCCGCGAGAGCTGCCTTTGAGTCGAAGCCTCTCACTGTGATCTCGGAATTCCTGCAGGGAACCAGCTAGCCCCTTCGGATTCTAAGGTCCCCGATTCGAGACTCAAACAAGCTGCTGCACTCTCGGATTACGCTTGAAAAGACGGAATATGGCCCCCGAACGAATGCCAGGCGAAATTGGACGGGCTCACATCAGCCGGGAATTCCGGGAGAGCAAATTAACTCACAGGAGAGGACCACAGAAACACAGAGGACATGCCCGCGTGTGCGCGGCCGCTCCTTTCCCTGTGCGGGAATCTGCTCGCAACTCTTGACTGTGAATGGAACATTTTCCAACCTACCTGTATTTGTCGCGGAACTCGAGCTGTATGTCGTCGAGGAACTTGTCCACGTAAGAAAGCTGCAGAATTTTTTGATATGCCGTCACGAAGACAAGATCGAACTCGTTGTCCATACGGAACCTGTGGCGATCGGACAATGAAATTGGGGTCTGAGCATTGATACGGAAACGAGAGATCATTTCCTGACAATTCTCAAGGATCAGCAGGAGGCGAGCTCGCGGAATATTGCAACCTACCGGAGAGCGAGTTGATCATGGTGGTATTCCTCCTTGAAGGATCTGCCCTGGAGAATGATCTCACGGATGAGAGCATTGACGGCTGAGGTGAAGGCTTCGCCTGTGGACTGGAAGCACCAGAGGACGATTCCACTCTTCGAGAATATCGCGAAAAGGTCCAACATGATGACCGCTGTCGAAGAAATCGGATTGAGAATAGATCACCGCGATTTTTGGGCTTCCGACTCCGGAAACGCTCTTCATCGGCGAGAGAGGATTAGCGGGGTCCTCGCCCAACAATGATGCCTCCTGAAGTTTTCAGACTTTATACCCTCTCCACAGAAATTCATTCGAGAACAGCGTGGAGAATCACAGCACAGAACTCCGATCGTGGACTTCTCTGAAAATTCCGAGGGAGCTGTCCAACCAGCTTTCGAGCGTTCGCGTGGCCTTCCCGGAAGGCTGAAACCGCGCAACAGGGACCGATGGGTCCCATGAGCTCGGCGAAACAGAATTGATTGAGCTCTCTGGCGCTAAAGAATTGCGAGCAACAGCTCGCCTTCCCAGTCTGGAGAAACAGCTGACATCCTCTCGGGTCGAAAAATTCAGTCGTCCAAACACCATTCCAACGAAATCGAGGAAAGGGGGCTCAAGGGAGAGTCCTGATTCGAAGCACGCACAGCGTTTGCCTTCTGGCTCCGTGACTGTCGCGTGCCGGCCCCCACGGGTGAGATGGAGGACTAAGAAGAACGATATGGAGGGAGGAAAACCGATTCCTTCCCCAATAGGGAAACTGACAATTCGAACTTTCTCACTATCAGTCAACTACCAGCGCGACGAACTTAGATCTATCCCGGTCCAAAAGCTACTCTATCTCCGTGATCAATAATAATGAGCTTCTCTCACATTCGCCTTCCTTCGCACGGCACCAGTCGCCTAACAGCTGCGTGTATGATTTCGAACGCGTGACGTTGCAGCCTGTCTTCCAAAACCTTCCGCTAAATTAGCGGGCAGGTTTTCAGGATCTTCTCGAGGATTCTCATCATACCCCTCCGATCGCTATTTCCAAGAGGCATCTTCTGCGCGGAACATCGATCCCGAGTTTTGAGGAACCGGAGTACATGCCTGATGGTGTGCATTTCCCGTGATTCGGTGGTTGCCGAGATCCGCGATCGGATGACCCTTATTTCGTATCGTTGTTTTGGCGGGCTTTCGAAGAGCGCGCGCTCGCCTCCGGTAATCCATCTTTTGGAAGTTTTTGACAATTACTCAGTCCCACCGACCCCGTCTCATGTGTCCACCGAGTAACGCCCGTGGAGCTCCATTATTCTGAATAACGAGGCCCCCTCGAAATTTCGGCCCCTGTGAGGATTAGCACGGTACAATCACTCTTGAAGAGTCACCGACAGTGAGGCTCCACCCGTGCGAATCTCTCTCGACAGTGTCTACGAAATCGTATCTCTAGACTCTAGGGAGTCATCGTCCGTCTTCCGTTTCAGATGCTAGTATGGCAGAGATCTCAGACTGGAAGAAAAAATTCTAGTGTGACCTCGACGCTAACGTTCCCTGTTCCGGGTATGATTCCGGTATGACAACACAACGACCAGATGGCGATCTTCTCGATCAGGCTGAACTAAAACTCGCTCAGGAACCATGAACCTCCCGGAGAAGGAAGAGGTGGAGACCTCCCTGCCCTCCGATGGCGAGCCGCATGCGAATGTGACTGGCGGGGGATAGGAGTCAAATAGTATGCAAAGTCGTGTCCCGTGAGATGAGCCGCTCGGGCAACGGAAGCGAATTGCTATCGACGATTGAAGAAATAGCTTGGCCAATGGTCGAAAGCTGAGTTGAGGAGCTCGTCAATGGAGTCCAGCAGTGATAACATGATCCTCGCTGTCTAGATGATTCAATGTATCCGGAAACATCCTCAAATGCGCTCCGCTTCCGGAGAGATTCCTCCGTCGAGTCCCATCGGGGTGAAGTCCGCTTGGATACGTGGGTCTCGGAGATGCGTCGTGCGAGGGGTGCAACCCCGCTGGAGCCTGCCCTCAATGCCGATAACTTGTCGGAATATGAAAGATGTGATGTACACGACGAGACCGAGATGGGCTGGCAGTCTTCGATGAACGAGGACAGCGATCGACTGTTTCCATGCTGTCTATTCTTGAGCGATTAGTAGGTTCAGGATGCTAATTGCTCCGACTGCTATTGATGATGGTGGCGATTATTCCCTGAATATGTGGGCGCTTCCCCACGATCTGACTGATATTCCCGGAGGTGACCCGGAGTTTTTCGAAGGTGGACTCGCCCCTGCTTGCAGCGGAGCCTCAAATGTCGATCATGGCGGTCGGAACATTGGAATGCTTTTGGAGGAGAGTGAAATTCATTGATTGACTCCCGTCCGGCGGATGAATGATACCTGAATGCGAAATAATCCACCCCTGAAATGAAAGAGACCATACACACGCGAATGGAAGATCGAAATAAAATCAATCAAACCAGTCCATCGGAGAGCTCGCAGAGAGTCCTTCGGTTCGAATGAACTGAGGAGTAGCGAGAGAGAAGGAGATCTCGGAACTTCCGATTTATTGATCCAACGGAACGCAGCTATAAGTATACAAGATATTCACGTCCAACGCTAGCCGCGACGCTCAGGTCGACGAATTGGTATCACAAGCTTTTGATGAAATCTTCGAAAACCTCCTTCGTCGATTTCGCGACTTCTTCCACAAAAACCTCATCGGTACCGCGTGCGATTACACTCGGGGAGATATATCCTGGCATTGTTCTATCGAACTGATCGCGACCGACATGTTTCAAAAAAGCGTGCCGTTCCTTGAGTCGTGAAGCTCGTGACAGCAAAGCCTGAAAAGACAAAACTCATGGCAGACTCCCATCGATGCTTGGGAAGGGCTTCGCATTCCCCGCGACTTTTTTCCGGCAATTCGCGGTGCTTTCTCAGTCCCAAATACTCCATGGAGAGCAAGCTCAACAGGCAGCGCGACTTCGCGAGTTTCTGCGCGCGCGCGACTACTGCTTGGCCCAGCTCATGGGTCCTCGATCGAAATCCTCCGCGAAGTCGGCATTTTGGCTCGGCACATCGGGAGGAATTCGATCTTTTTTCCATTCGAACTTCATTCGAATCCGAAGGGGTCCGACAAAAAACTTGAATGCGTTCCATTCTGCTGCTTACCCTCGGATCTGACACCAGTACTTCGTGTGGGTAACCGATGTCCAGATGCAATACTTGGAAACGATCGAGGAGCCCGAATCGATTAATTGTGAGAATTTTCGGGACTTTCTTTATGATCGCTTTCATTTCCGACGAGCTGAGTCCCATCTCCTCGATCATGGTGAATTTCCTGAGAGCCAAGTTCCGCATGGTGACCAACATGACCTGAAGAAACCGAAATGCGAAATTATTTCAGATACGAATGGATGTCGATACGCCTCCGGTTTAGTGCAGATTTCCAGATCTATGATCGTCATTCACATTGATGATTCATCGTATATAATTATAATTGAGTCCCGACCCACCTGCGGCCTTGAGACTACGATTTGAGTGAATTCCGCTTTGGTGAGAGCGAAATGATTGCGGAAAAAACTGATCCGGTTCTCGATGTACTCCACCGACTGTGACAACCAACGGCTCTCCTTTGAGAGGATTCTCACAATATCCGCCCTCCGAAGACCGAGTCCCTCCTGTTTGTTCCTCAAAAACTCCAATCGTACCCTCATATGCTGCATATCCTCGCTCAAGATACAGGGATTGCGGCGAAGAACTCTGGCGAGTTCCTGATTCGGAAAGTGGTCGTGAGTCATTCTGCAGAGAAGAGTCGAGCTCCCGCCGGGAGTCTCGTGGAATGTTCGGACGGAATAACTCACTTCGTTGCCGAGTCCGCATTCCTTCACCAAGAATTCGATACGTGGGACGCAATCCTCATGCCAGTTCAACTTCACCATCGTTTTGAAGACATCTGGTTTTTCATCCCAATGAGCTACGGAAACACCCATTCCGACGAGGTTCCTTATGACCTCATTCTGAAATATTCTCCGGTATTAGGTATCTTCGCGAAAAGAGGCGAAATCATCATTCGTCGAGATCTCGACGATTCTCCGAGCGTAGAACCTCAAAACCGTCCTGGACTCGCCACTCTTCGCTGTGATTACCTTGTCGGCTAAAGCTGCAACGTTGTAAGTGGGCATCATCCCTGGTCCGAGGCTGTCCAGGAAATCAGCGTCGAAAAACTGACTCTCTTTGTAGTTCTTCAGGGCATCCTCGATCTTGATCTCCTCTATTCGGTCAAAAATCGACAATTCGTCGGGTGTGTAAGCCTGAAAATGGAATCCTCCAACTCAGGGCCGCAGTCGAGTATCCGACTCAATTCCACTATTTTCACAGGACGCCTCATCTCCATCGAGTCGGATGTGGGTATGCGAACAACATCATGACGGGGATGTCCCAGAGGGAGTTGGGGTCGGAGCGCTCGAAGGGGTATGCGACTCACCCTATTCGTCACGCCTTCCTTGACATCCTGACGGTGGACGAGGGTCATTACTGAGGGGTCGTCCAGAGGGTCCTTCTTGGCCGGTCGAGGGAATTTCTCGAATTTCTCCTCGACGATATCGCCTACGTAGAGCATTTCTTCGGGCTCCTCGGTCGGTCTCCTCTGCCTGGCATGCTGGGCGGTCACACGGGGGGCAGCTTGAGGCTGGCCTCGTATGAGTCGCACCTGCGGTAGAACTCTGACGGCGCGACGTGCGAACGCCGAGAACATGCTGGAAATATCGATCAAGAAGTAAGGACATAACCTCAGTGAGTCGTCTCGAAATAGAAATTGATCCGGTGATTGCCTCTATAAGTCCCTCCTGGGTGAGCTCAAGTCCTCCAGAATGGCGGAGCGCCGGGGGCGAATCCCAGTCCAAGACCGAGAGCATCTTCCGCCCGAGCCCCCGCAGTTCCGCTCCCCAAACAGAAGCGGCGTCCTTCGTGCGCGACGCTCTGCGGTGCTCCGATCCCCTCGAGGGGGAAAAGCTATGTCGGCTTCTTCACAGACTACAAGAAGCCTTGAGGCCGAGAGTCTCACCTGATTTATAGAGCTGAACTATGCGGATGACAGGAACTTTGTACAGTGCAATAATAGAGAGTAGATCCTTCTCCGCGCACGTTGTCCCTCCGGTTGACTAACAACAGCTTGGTGAGTCTCTCTCCGCTCAGTCCTGAACCCGGAAGCCAAAAGAAGCATTTCCAAAGTCCAAGGGCGAGCGTTTTTCCGGATGTATTCGATGTCGCAGAGATTCGTTAACTGAACGAGGTACCGGAAAGTAGTTCCTCGTCCCGCATGAAAACGATATTTCTCGGCACCAGAGTTTAGTTTCGGCTCTCAGCTGACTGAGCTGGTTTCCGGGTGCGGCTCGGGGACCAGCTGTTCGAGCAGGGTCTTCGTGGCCAGCCGTCAGCACTAGGGGAGAGAAGGGATCAAAATGGAACGCCAACAAAGTTTGAAGTTTCGATGTGGATGTTGATGCTCCAGGCACTCGGGGAAATGCTGTGTCGATGAAAGGGACTGAATCCGAGGCTTAGACGGGATTAAATCCCCAAGTGTCGGGCAACCCGATCACCAGCATGAGGATCCGACCGGCTGCCCTCCTGTACGGGGCAGTCGCCGTGTTGTGTGCGACGGCTATGCCCCGGCAAGAACTGGACGAATACAGGTAGAAACTTCACGCACGCGAGGTGTCAGGGAGGTTCTAGTCCGTATCGGAGCAAACCTATAGTTTGGTCCATGTCGCCGCTACGCGGTATGAGTAGCCGTGAAACTTGAGCATCACGGGATTCATCGATTTTTCCTTTGGACTCAAACGATCGGACATCTCCGAATGATGGTCTTCGCTTAAGCAGATTATGAGCGTGCTCAGATCCCACGGGGATGATCCGAGTTCGTATGTGATAAAGAGCGGGAGGAAGAGCTCCCTCAACTATGGGACTCCGTATGAGGAACGGATCCTCATAGAGAGTCCGTCTGACTTTCCCCTCTTCTCATTCTTCTAACCTTTCCCCTCCCTCACGCAGAGAGCGTGTTCGGGCCATGTTCGTTCACGGATACGATTCCTACATGGAATTTGCCTTTCCTCTCGATGAGCTGAGACCTTTATCATGCGATGGTTTCGACACATGGGGAAGCAACTCGCTGACACTGATAGGTGAGTCCCACCGTACTATTCCCCCATATCACAAAGGGATGATTTTCGCGAGGGGGACGAATGACGAGTATGTTCTCCTCATCGCTTTCCCAGACTCCTTGGACACACTCGCTGTCCTGGGGAATTTCTCCGAGTTCAGAAGAGCGGCCGGTATCGTTTTAGAGCACTCTGATTTCGACAAAGATCTCAACGTTTCGGTTTTCGAAACAAACATACGAGGTGAGTTCCACACCGCCGCTCCATGGGTCGACTCGCTCGATCGATGCAGCCGACTCCTATCGGAAAACTCTTCTCCAACGAGCTGTGTCGATTTACAGTCGTGGGAGGACTGATCTCTGCACATCTCTTCTCGAAGAAAGCCGGCTTGGACTTGGAAGCAGGCTGGCCTTGCGAAGGCCCTCTGCTCAGGTTAGCCGTGGATGTGGCGAACCGTCTCCTCCCAGGTGAGAAGATGTTGCTCAGGTCTAACCAGAAAACTGAACTATCTTGAGATTGGCCTTTTTGATATACTCGCAAGTCCATATCGTCTATCGGACGCCTCCATCGATTCTTCCCCAGCCTTCAACACCACTACCGGGATGCCGTACGGAACAGTCAATTTACGCCATGGTGTTCCTCCGGGCGAAACATCCGTCACCTGTACAGCGGGCGTTGGAACATTCATCGTCGAGTTCGCTGCCCTTTCGAGGTTGACTGGGAATCCAGTTTACGAAGAAAAAGCTGTTCGAGCTTTGCGCGCCTTGTGGGATACGCGGTCGAGAATCGATCTCGTTGGAAACCATTTAGGTGAATATCATCCGTTGAAAGCCGAATGGGGCGCCTCGTGTGCCCGACATGATCGGAACGGTTCCCAGGAATTCGGTCCGTAGAGGTAGAGAAACTTCACGCATTCTCTCTATTTCTTCCAGATGTAGAATCGGGCAAATGGACGGCTACCGATGCCTCGATCGGAGCTGGTGTGGATTCCTATTTCGAATATCTAGTCAAGGGCTCGATGATTTTGAGAGAGCCCTGGCTTTTGGAACACTTCGAGGCATATAGGCATGCTATCAATCATTATATGCGCAAAGACGATTGGTTTGTCCTAGTCAGGATGAACTCCGGTGAGCCTACGATGCCGTACTATCAGAGTTTGGAAAGTTTCTGGCCTGGGACACTGGTGAGTTCCGATCAGTTCTCTCGGATATTTCTCCACTATGAGGTGTCACGACCCGGTCGAAAACCTCTCTACATTGCAGTCGCTCATGGGCTACGTCGAAGACGCCCGACGATCGCTTTACAATTACCACCAGGTCTGGAAACAGCTCGGATTCATCCCAGAATTCTACGACATCTCTAGAGGTCAACCGCAGGACAAACGCGAAAGCTATCCTCTTAGACCCGGTATGTGTAACGATATTTCCTCCAATTGAGATTTTTGCGCACGAGATTTCCACTGCGCGTCGACCGTCGGAAGAATCCGAAATTATCTTCCCACGTTCCGTAATAACTGAAGGGCTGTCATCCGTAGAATTCATCGAGAGTGTCATGTACCTGTACCAGGCGACGAAGGATCCGCATTTCTTGGAAATCGGAGTCGATGTACTCACCTCATTGGAGCACACGGCGAAGACCGAATGTGGATACGCTACTGTGAGTTCCGCCGCTTGACTCGACTTTTTCCGTTGACCACTGCCATGGTTCTCGGACTCGAAGCCCTAGCGATCCATATATACGACGCGACTCACCCGGAGTTCACATCGATTCCAGGTCAAAAACACCTTAACGCACCTCTTAGAGAACCGAATGGAATCCTTTTTCCTGGCCGAAACTACGAAATACCTCTACTTGTTATTCGACGTCGACAACTTCGTGCACAATTTGTTCATGAACCCCGATAGTCGTAATGTTACGACCAGGGACGGCTACACGCGCCAGTGCTTCTTCGATGCTGGTGAGAGAACGTTTTCGGAATGAAACAATCTTCCTCGAGCGTAGACATTTCGTGCGAAATCAAATCCATTTGGGAATCCCTGCCCTATCCCTATCATACAACATTTATTTCTCTACACATCCTCTCTAGTCAGAGCTCCGTGAGATTGCCGGTCTCATTGAAATTTGATCCCTTGTCCCAGGTGGCTATGTCTTCAACACGGAAGCTCATCTGATCGATATCGCGCTCTTGGATTGCTGTCGCTCGGAAAATCTTGCCTTCGAAATCCAATCGAGGTCTGCGAGAAAATCGCGGCGCGAAAGAAGTCGCCTCATCAACACATTCTCGAAGTAAGAATATGGAATCACCCATTTCAAATGTCAATGGAAAAATAACCTCGGCGAGGCCACGCTCAATGGGACGGAGTATCGCGGTAGAGGATAAGCGTGGTCGCTTGAATTTCCGAAATCTGAGAGATTTTGTTTCATCTCTTCAGTGTGCCAAACTGCAACCAAAGCACGATAGAGGAGCTGGCCATGCAATGCCCAGGAACATCGGAGTCGCTCGAGGAGTCGCAGGGTCCGGACTTGGAATGCTTAGCTCAGCACCCCCTGTATCAGTTCGGCCTCCGTGGTCAGATCATCGACATTCCCGACTGAAGAGATGAAAGCGTCGACTTTTCTGGATTTTTGTATACCATTCCAGGGCGATTCTTGCCTTCGTCGATCTGTGGTTATCGATCGAGTCCTCCGTATCCATGTGACAGATACGTATTCGAGGATGAATGAGATTCCGCAACAGAGCTAAACTCCAAATGTTGAGGGCATTCAAGAAAACTCGAAAAAGGAGTATTGTTGAAGAATAATTTATTTTCTTACGCGAAATAGGCTTATCGGTGGACAGTGGGACTAGGAAAAAGTGTTGATTTTCATGAAGGGCAGAAATAAATCGATGACTGCGAAAAATGAATTTTAGTCTGAGTTTCCAATCATTGAGTCATTTTGAGTCACAAATGGTTTCGAGCTAGGGGGACAACAAGATCGAGCACTCCGCGCCTGATCGCCATTCCAAACTTATACCAGTCAAATGGTCAGTATCGAAAATGTGCGCAGCGTGCCCCCAAAGGCACAAACAATGATGATGTCTCCCACGCAGGGCACGATCTGACCTTTTTCAGAAAAGACGAATCCTCACAAAACGCTGTCGGAGAAACGCCTTACGCACCACATTTCGACAAGAAAATTTCACACTTCTTCACCATGGGCTACGCGAAGCTACCATGGGACACCCTCCCGGCTCCTTCCACGAGAGTCCCGATACTCCCATGAGCCTTCTGCGGTGGAGCTCCTTGATGTGCGCTCGCGAAGAAAATTATCGTCGCGTACAAGACTCTGCTAAAGGGCTGGTAGACCCGAAAAAATTAATCCGTGAAGAGCAAGCCCTCATTTGTGATCTAGTCGATCCACTGCGATCATCAAACGGGGTGAGCACCGATTTTGGCTCCGATTACGATGCGTGAGAGATGTCGCATGGACCTCAGGGAGCGTTTCGCGCGAAATCACCGCCCCGACCCATCGCGAAGTGTCAGATCGACGCCTACTCATCTCTGTGATAGACCATTGGGATTAGCGTAACGCGTATCAGTCATGATTATTGAATGAGAGAAATTAGCGTGAAAAATTCCTCACGAAATAACCCTCGCCGCTCGTGTGGGTAGCCCTGGACACAGTATGCCACAGAACATGAGGAACGGCGACTATTCCACATCCAACACTCCTGCTAGCTGGATCGTACGCATCCGGATTATGCACTCGTGCCTAGGTGAAACCACAGAAACCATCGGCGGGACTTTGCAGGTGAGGAACCCGAGACGAGTGATCGTCTCTTATCGGAGCCGATCGATCGCGCGGAACCTCCCGACAGAGTCTGGGATAGATCGTGAGAAATCGAGCTGTTGCCTTGTCAAGGTCTACGGCGACAGATGACGCCCTGGAGAGCTGTATGTTCGAAGTCCTATCAGCTAATCATAAGAATCGGAGAAGAGTGAGAGCGACCACCTTCATAAGTCGAAGGGATATCACAAGCGAAGGAGGGGTCATCGAAGAAGAACAATTGAGGGTCGATCGTGAACAACCCACCGACCTGACAAGCAAGAAAAGGAACAAGGAAATTGTGCCACATCTCCACCGTAGCATTCATTCAACGTATTGGTTCATACGAACGATCAAGGTCTTCATCTGAATCACTAATATTGAAAGAAGCCGAATCTTTCTCGGCGGCAGCGGGTACGCCGCCGTAATCATCCTCTTCGGCGGTCCGATCAGCGACGGCAGGTGTTACAGTGGTCGTCGATCCGACTGAAGACACCGCTCAGTACGGCGCAGTCGTGTAGGTGAGACGGTAGCCGTTCGTTCTGTGCGCTCCGCCATCCTGAGTTCCGAGCTGGATGCGGCTCCAGGAGATTTCGGCGACGAAATCCTGGAAAGCCGGATGAGACTCGTCGAGTCCGTCGAGCGTGTTATGTGCAGTTCGCTTCCTGTGCACTCGAATAATGCGCCGCGCAGGGAATATAAGGAGACCAGTTTCACAGATCCGCCGGTACGCGCGCCTGGACCGGGGAGTCGTCGATGGGAGCGGGGAGGATCTCTAACATCTGTTCCCGTTGCAGTCCACCACGTGTAATGCGGCGGCGTCCAATTATTCATTGGCGAACACTGGAGTCGACGGAGACGGCGACGGAGGGAAGAGCTTCATCATGGATTTGAACATGTATGCCACGAGGAAAACGGTTGCACAAGGTAGGAATCGAAACGATCTCATCGAAAAGGGAGCTGTGGCCGAATTCGAGGAGAGTTCCGGATAGCGGAAATACGCGACCGAAGTTCGCCCGAGCTCCGAAGAGCCTGGATACAGAATAGGCGGAGCCGTCGGAGCGTAGGGACATACAGTGGCGGTCAAAATAATAGAGCCACCTAAAAACTTCGTCTTCTTTTTCGGAGGTCCGTAACTTTTCAGAAAATCGACCGAATCGGACAGTTTTTTTTTGAAATCGAAGAGAATTTGATGAGCTTTCCAATGAACCCGTCTATTTTGACATTTGAATGCGTTTTGAGGGACTTTCAGCCATCTCAATATCGCTTATTTTAGAAATTTTCCATCTCATTTTAAAACCCTCATAAGTCGGGACGAGGGTATCGCATCGGCTCGGTGTGGTCGGCATCTTGTAGCGCGGGAAAAGAGCTTTCGATTCGTCTATTCACTTTCAAAAATCGGTTCACCTGGAGCTGAGAAAAAGTTCGTCTGCTAAGTGGAAGTAACGGTCAAAAATAATAGAGCCCACCCCCCCCCCCCCCA